GAACCAATTATTCAATAACACTTTCCCCTCCTCTTGCCTCCTTGGATGAGTCCCAAATGGTACCCTATTCCCTACATAGTGCACTACTTTTGACCAGAGCCCACATTTGCACCTTATTGGGAATAGGGTGCCATTTGGGATACATGGGTTGTATTCTAAATGAGAGGGACAGCGCGTAGGCAGACCTGTGTCGGTCGAGGTACGCCTCGGTTTGGGCTCTTACCCGTTGCCATGGCGCTGTGTTGTGGGCTTGCAGGTTCAGAGTCAGATTAGGGGTCCGGTATCACTACACCACCAGTCAAACCTGGGTTCAAATACTAATCTAAATCATTTCAAATACTTTATGTGTGCTTGGTTGAGCTTGTCTGTTGCAATAGAACCAAAATAAAAGTCCCAACAGTTCCCAAACCCTGTCCACCTGATTGTCACTCCAGGCAGGTTAAAGCAAACAGACAACGTTTTTTGAACGATTTCAAACACAATTTGAACCCAGGTCTGATCACTACACCACCACTATAGCACCAGCACCACCAACCGACTGAGGTAATTGAGATCAGATGGGCCATTGAGGCGAGGCGGCCGGGTGATGAGGCGACCTGGGCTAGGCAGAGTAACCTGGAAGCATTTATTTATGGAAAAGATGTTTAGTTAAGTGCAGTGCTGAGGCTAATGAGTCTGGGCCTGGTCGGGCCTGGCGGCTGTGATGAATATGATCGGTGAAAGCTCTGAACGCTGGTTCTTGAGTCCTTCCTTCCTCCCGGATCGAGTTTCAGATTAACAGACTTCCTGTCCAATCCATGGCATTTGGAAAGCAAATGATCACCTCGTTTTTATGAGGGGAATTATCATGTATTAGTCTAGTTCAGGATATCTCAGAGGATATCTCAGGACCGGTTAGAGTTTAAGGGGCCTAAGGATTGGAGTCACGTTTCGGACTGTGTGTGTGTGTGTGTGTGTGTGTGTGTGTGTCAAGGCATTTTTCAAAGGGCTTTTGGGATGGTTTAGGAGCTAGAATTGTGTCACTTTGTCTTTAATGGAGAAAACTGTCTTGTAGTCAAGATGCTTGGGTGTCTGTTCAAGCTTGTGACCTCCAGAGTCACATACATAAATAAGAAACAAAGACACTGACATGAGCATCGTTCCCAGTAAACTGTTCTAGTTTAAAAGTACCTATCAGTACAAGTTACTGTTGCAATTAACAGGTATCACCTGTTTGCAAGTTGGTGTTGAAAATATCAACACAGTCCGGAAAAACGGCAAGTACAATCTCAATCACAACATAGGCTCTTGCATCATCCATCATGTTGACACGTTGAGAGCACCAACAGCCATGACAGGCCTTGCAAGTCTGATAAGTTCATACAGTAAGGGACACAAGTCTTTCTCAAAATCATTTACAAGGTCGAAGAAGATGAGGATTATAGAGATGCTCAATGCAACAATAGGTCTTGCAGCAGTCCAACTTCATTATGCTTGGGCCCTGTGAACAGTGAGGATGCAGGCAATCACTTTGTTTTGCTTTCTCAAACTGGTGAAGCCTTCATATGTAGGCTATAATCCATGCATTTCTGAGAGTGGGGGACTTACATGAGCACCTCCATATACTTTAAAATATAGGCATAGCCATCTACTTATGAATGGCATACAGTCTATACTGTAGCAGAGGGTTATGAGTCATATGCAGATTAGAATAGGAACACAGAACACTGTGTCATTTCTGATACCCCGGCCTCATCACACCCTCCCTCCCACCCTCCTCCCCCACCACCATCTCATTTCCTCTCTCTCCTCTCTGCCGCTCTGCTCCGCTTCGAGCCCCTTGATTACAGTGTTCCCAGGGGACTAGTTCAACTCCTCAGAGATAGGAACCGTCGAGGGTACCAGTCACTTAAGATCAAGACAGGGGGAGGAAATCGTGGCGAACACAAAGCTAAATATATAATTCCTCCCGTGCCGGTAATCATGACGTCCAGGCGATTTGGAATGACATTTTAACCACTTCAGACTAAAGCAACGCTCTACTCGAGAGACAGGCACACGGGCAGCCGGGCCCGTGGCGAAGCATGCACTGACCCACCCAGGGGTATGGCACCCCAAACGAGCACACGTTCCGCCCGTGACGCTGAAATGGCTCACAGGCCAGGTCAATTCAGTCAGATGTTAGACAAGAGGAAAGGAAGGAAGTAATTTCTCTCCCCAGTATTAGTTACCTGATGATTAAGATCCCCCACCTCCACCTCCTGCTAATGGTGTTTCAAATATGCAACCAAAATGTCCACACTATAATAGACCTATTCTTGAGTTGGTAGAATGGCTTATAGGTTCTACATTAGACCCATGCTTACAGTGCAGCATCCTATAGCCTCTGCATTCATGTATATCATTCATCCTACATACTATTTGACCATATGATCCCAAAGTCACACATTCCTCACATTATATTCCATTAGTCCTGAACCATATGCATAGCAGGCCATCAAGATTGTAGCCTACCAAAGTAGGTCCACAAGGCCAATCGTTCTTATCTGAGAACTGACTTAATTGTATTTCGAACAATGCCACCAAATATGAATAATGGATCAGCAACTGTGCTGAGCCTATTCTTTCCATCTCTGCCTAGCTCATGAGACAAGGGTCTCTCTCTGCCCACCCTCCAATTTTGCCCGCTCCCTCCTAACAGCTTTCTGAACATCAAGTCTGAGTTAATTTCCAGTCTGATTTACATATGCAGTGAATATGCCCCTATGGCACAAATTACCTGGCTGAAAGTCTTTCCCATCACACCAGAAGTGCGTTTTCTACATCCTCGCTGATTGGATTCTTGATGAGATCGTCAGGTGGCTCGCACACTTCACATGGCGAAGACGCGATGGGCGTATGGGTTGCCAATTCTGAGGCCACTGAAGTGCTTCACGGCTCTCTACATCTCTCTCGTGCTCTCTCTCTCTCGAACACTCATAACCACCGTTCTGAACATGGGCTGGATGTTGGGTGTGTAATCAGTGCAGTACTGGCAGGGAGGTATGATAGCCTGCTTCATGCCTGCACAACCCCTCAGCCAGGCTCCAGTGAAGTACGCTCTTACTCTCAACAAACCTAACAGGCATATCAATGTTACCCCATAGTCACAAGCCTCTCACAAGACTCCAGAAATGGATAATTCAATCATGCATAATCTGCATGTAAAGTAAAGTAGGAAGACGAAATAAAGACTTCCATACTCTTGCTCAGATAACCAAGGAGCAACTGTAACATAGAGTATCTCTGTCTACAAGGACTGACTGCTGTTCTGTCTGCTCTTCTTACTTTACCCTCTCAACCAGCCGCTGGTTTGTCCAAGGGAGTACACTAGTCTAACACTATCAATTCTAATAGTGAGAGTTAATTTAGACATATATTTTTTACAAGAGGCACAAGAAAAAACATTTCCTCTCTCCTCACCGTTCCCCGCCACCCCTCTCCATTCCATGGCAGCAGCAGTGCTGCGAGCAGAGGACCAGTAATTCAGTCGATAAATTTCAAATGAAATGAAGCTATCAGCTGAAAGCAATTTCAAGGGCTGCGTTCGGTGCCAGGGATTTGAGATTTTCACTCCTCCATCGATCATGAGCCTCTGTTTTGGGCCAAGGTACACAATGCCCCCAAATTGCTGACATGTGGACCCAGAATCAATGCCATTTCCCTCCTGGCTGGGCTCTCCTCCTCTAAACCGTTGTTTATCCAATGACCCTCGTCTGTTTTGCCCATTAAAGAGCAAACTAATGTCTCAGGGTGTGTGTGTGTGTGTGTGTGTGTGTGTGTGTGTGTGTGTGCAGCGTCTCATAGTGTGTTTTTGTGTGTGTGTGTGTGTGTGTGTGTGTGTGTGTGCAGCGTCTCATGGTGTGTTTTTGTGTGTGTGTGTGTGTGTGTGTGTGTGTGTGTGTGTGTGTGTGTGTGTGTGTGTGTGTGTGTGTGTGTGTGTGGCGCCTCAGGGTAGGGCCAAGCAAACCACCGTATTATAGACAACACCTAATGGATGAAAGACCATAGTGGTGTGATACATTAAGGTTTAGTACACAGGAAGAAAGTAGAAGATTATCACTCTTACTAACGAAGGAGATCTAACTTCTAACTCACATGAAAGGCAAGAGAAGAAGAATAACACATAACAGAGTTTATGTACAAAGCAGTGTTTTGGTTAAAAGGGCGTCCATAAATAGTTGGGTGCCCACTTAATTGTGTTTATATTGGTAGCTGTAGGATTAATCCTCGACAAACTGACAGAACGAATCAGTGAGTTTGCCGTTAAAGGGATAGTTCAGCGATTTTACATATTTCGATATGTTTCCTTACCTTGATATTTGTTTCCTTACCTTGAAATATCAGCAATCGTTTGCAGCGGCTAGTTTAACAAAACCAAACTGTGGATTTCCTTGTCCATAGCCTGCTTTTCAAGGTAAAGAAAGAAATATCTAAATATGTAAAATCACTGAACTATCCCATTAAAGCTGAATCTGAAACAAATGTTGGCTGTTGGCACAACGTTAAAATATCTCTATTCTTCCTGTCCTCTGGGAGACTGTCTCAGTGTCTCAGGCCAGGAAAGCCACACAGTTTACAGTGAGTGTGGTGCTTTCTACATAAACACAGCTCTCTGTGGCCTCAGTTTGATTAGGAGGCTCCCAGATGCCATTAAAAGTCAATTTCTCCCCTCTGTGTTTGTTTTAAGACGAGAGCGACGGAGGAACCCAGCAGCCACTGTCGTGCAATGCCAACTTCTGTTTACGCATGAGTGGAACACACAAACAACCGCCGAGCTAGCGCCAACCGAACCTACAGTAGAGTACATTATTTGCTCTCCCTCAATTCTCCATCATCAACATAATGGTTTGACTTTTGTTGATGATCCGGTATCGTGTTCAGTATTGTGTTCAGTATCGTGTTCAGTCATATTTGCAGGAGGAACCGTTGCAAACATGATTGTCTCAAAAATAGAGGAGTGGTAATTTTTGTAACGCCACCCCAACAGCTCCTTGGTTTTGGTGGCCAGCTGCTTGTCTATATCTGCTGCAAAAGCCATCCGCCATTTGCCCGACCTGAGAGAGTGGAGAAGAGGAGAGAGAACACTTATTAGACAACTATTACTATTGGTATTATAATACAAATGTGTATACAAATACTGTGAAATTATGGAAAGGATTAATCTGAACATTTGTAGCCACTGATTGTATTTCTGTCCTCTGACAGGACATGTATCCCTGTCTCAGTACTTGTTTCTCCACCAATCGGATGGTGTCCTCTGACACGGTCTCCTTGACCTTCTTCACCTGGGTGACAGCATTAGACCTCACCCTCCTCAGAGACTCCTTGGCCTTGTTACTGAACTGTTTAACCAGGTTTCTCCCTGTGCTCACCCTGCAGGGACAGATGGACAAACCTATGTATGTACACACATACACACACAAGGGTGCTCAAGCACGCACGCAGGGGCAACACACACACACACTCCATTAATGCCCAAATAATTTCATTCAAAAAAACAAATACCTGGCTTTCTGCGCCACTTGAAAAATACTTTTCAAGGTCACGGTGCAGTCAACAACTTTGTTTTTGGTTTGCTTTGCTGCTGTTGATAACAGTTTATTTTCCTTAATTGGCATTTTTGCCTGGGAGTATTTGCAAACAATCCAAAAAGTGGTGTCTATTTACTGCAAACAATAATGCGTAATTACTGAGTCTGGGCCAATCAAGCCGCTTGCTCTCTTTGGAAATGCAAATGTGGTTGCGTGCCAAGACTGATTGAAGAGGAAAAAGGCGTCCGTCCGTCCCCCTATCCAGTGCTGCCAGACAAGCACCTGCTGCTGCCGGGGCTCGGCGTACTTCATAATCACACATATTTTGTGGTTTAGCGAGTGACGGCAGCACGTCAAGGGCTGTGTCCCAAAGGGCACCCTATTCGCTATATAGTGCACTATATAGTGCACTATGTAGGAAATAGGGTGCCATTTGCGACGCAGTAAAGTTATTTGATTTGGCAGGGAGCTGAGTTGGACAGGGGACTTTTGACCAAGGTTGGTGTTTTCTAACTGCTACAGTTGGGTGAATTAGTTAAATGAATATGTCAGAAACACCTAGAAACACACAGACATGTTCATGCATTTCTTTAACGTGGCATTTTAAAAGGAGACGGTAGGTCAGGAAAGGGACTGACGGGAGAATGAATAAAATGAAATAAAAGTGTGAGAGGAGGAAATGCAGATGGGGAGAAATGGTAGAATGAGGAAAGTGAGGAAAGAGAGTGAATATTGAGAGTGAGACAGAAGGGAGAGAGTTAAAGAGAGAGTGGGAGAGAGAGAGAGAGAGAGAGAGAGAGAGAGAGAGAGAGAGAGAGAGAGAGAGAGAGAGAGAGAGAGAGAAGCGCCGCGAGAGAGAGAGAGAGTTAGAGAGAGAGAGAGAGTTTGTGTTCACAAACACAAACAGACCCCACACAGCCCCAGGACAACAACAACAACAACAACAACAACAACAACACAATTAGACCCAACCAAATCATGAGAAAACAAAAAGAGAATTACTTGACACATTGGAAAGAACAAACAAAAAAACTGAGCAAACTAGAATGCTATTTGGCCTTAAACAGAGAGTACACAGTGGCAGAATACCTGACCACTGTGACTGACCCAAACTTAAGGAAAGCTTTGACTATGTACAGACTCAGTGAGCATAGCCTTGCTATTGAGAAAGGCCGCCGTAGGCAGACCTGGCTCTCAAGAGAAGACAGACTATATGCACACTGCCCACAAAATGAGGTGGAAACTGAGCTGCACTTCCTAACCTCCTGCCAAATGTATGACCATATTAGAGACACATATTTCCCTCAGATTACAGCGATCCACAAAGAATTCGAAATCATACCCAATTTTGATAAACTCCCTTATCTACTGGGTGAAAAACCACAGTGTGCCATCACAGCTGCAAGATTTGTGACCTGTTGCCACAAGAAAAGGGCAACCAGTGAAGAACAAACACCATTGTAAATACAACCCATATTTATGTTTATTTATTTTCCCATTTGTACTTTAACTATTTGCACATTGTTACAACACTGTATATATACATAATATGATATTTGAAATGTCTTTATTCTTTTGAAACTTCTGAGTGTAATGTTTACTGTTAATATTTATTGTTTATTTCACTTTTGTTTACTATCTACTTCACTTGCTTTGGCAATGTTAACACACGTTTCCCATGCCAATAAAGCCCTTAAATTGAAATTGAATTGAGAGAGAGGAGAAAGAAAGAGAGTGAGAGGAGAAAGTGACAGAGCAAGAGAGCGAACGAGAGAGCAAGAGAGAGAGAGAGAGAGAGAGAGAGAGAGAGAGAAGAGAGAGAGAGATAGAGAGAGAGAGAGAGAGAGAGAGAGAGAGAGAGAGAGAGAGAGAGAGAGGGAGCTCTCAGGACTGACTGACTTACTTGGGAATAGGCACCCTGTTGATGGTTCCGTCCACCTCAGGGTTGAGTTTCATGCTGCTCTCACACAGGACGCGGGTGGCAGCAGCCATGGCCTGAGGACACATCAAACAAACATTAGACCTAGACCTAATGACTGCCAGCTGGGGTTTGGACTGGGGCTGGAGCTGCACTACCTGCAGACAGACACCCAACCACCCAGCCAGGTCCCAGCCCCTATCCATTCACCGTCTGGGTTGTTGGTTTGGTTTTTGTGTAAATGTACGAGTCAATGAAAAAGTATTTATTTCTCGGGGGACAATAAATCTAATCTAATTCAATTTAATGCACCCACCCTCAAGACACCCACCCTGCCCCTATCAATCCACCCCAGGCCCCCACCCCCAGACTGCCCTGGCCTTTCTCCTGGCCATAGGAGCACCAGGAAGCAGACCCTGGCTGTCCCTGGTCAGGTTGACTTTGATACATGGCGAGCTGGGTGAACTGTGCAGCATCTCCCCACAGAGCAGGTTCTGGTAGAGGGGGGTTAGGGGTTATGGTTTGTGTGTGTGTGTGTGTGTGGGGGGGGGGGGTTCAGCCCTGGCCGTGGCGGGAGAAGCACATGCGGTGTGGAAGTGCCGCGGGGCGCTGTCAGGCAACAGTCCTCTGGGAACGGGTTGAGGGGTTGCAGTGCAGGGCGATGACCTCTGGTGACCTCTACGGGATGGGAGGAGTGGGACGGGGCGGGGCGGAGGTGTGTGTATGTATATATGTGTGTGTGTGTGTGTGTGTGTAACTGGGGGAGTCCTGGCCTGGCTGTGTACCCACAATGCATTAGACTAGAGGAGATGTCTGTGTAACATATTAGAACTCTAATGGTGGTTGGACTCGGCAATTAAAGAATAGGCTGTAATCTGGATATGTGATTTGTCTGTGTCTGGTAGTTGTGGGAGGGGTGCCTGAGAGAGAGAGAGAGGCAGAGACGGGACAGACTGAGGCCTGTGGAAACTCCAGTATGTGTTCTATTTAATTCTATGATATGGAGCCTGTTCAGACACACATTACATTTACATTTTAGTCATTTAGCAGACGCTCTTATCCAGAGCGACTTACAGTGGGAATCAAACCCAACAACCCTGGCGTTAAAAACACCATGCTCTATCAACTGAGCTACATCCTGCCGGCCATTCCCTCCCCTACCCTGGACGACGCTGGGCCAATTGTGCGCCGCCCATGAGTCTCCCGGTCGCGGCCGGCTGCGACAGAGCCTGGATTCGAACCAGGATCTCTAGTGGCACAGTTAGCACTGCGATGCAGTGCCTTAGACCACTGCGCCACTCACACATACAATACAGGCCGTGTGGGGAGAACATGCCAAGACTGAGCACACTATTGTTCAACCCTCAGGTACCCATCACAACATTACCAGATAGATCCCAGCACCAGATAGAAACCCCCTTCCACCCCCTCGCACCCGCCCGCCGGCAGCTTCCTAACCTCCCATTACCTAACAGTCTAACAGCCCTGCTAAGCCAACACAGAGGTGACTGCACAGCACCCAGAGCAAATAGGATTCTAATTATTCACATCCATTACCCACGTTCCTAACGAGAGGCCATTGTTTTCTAGTCATTCATTAAAAGGTCCAGTACTGCAGTACAGTGTTACTGCAAACCCCCAGTGGCTGTTGTGCAGTGGCAATGGCAGCATGAATTAAATCGCTTGGATGTTTAGAGAAGAAGGGAAGTGGAGGTAAAACGCTGTGTGTGTATGTCTTAGTGTGTGTGTATGTCTTAGTGTGTGTGTATGTCTTAGTGTGTGTGTATGTCTTAGTGTGTGTATTTGTCTTAGTGTGTGTGTATGTCTTAGTGTGTGTGTATGTCTTAGTGTGTGTGTATGTCTTAGTGTGTGTGTTTGTCTTAGTGTGTGTGTTTGTCTTAGTGTGTGTGTATGTCTTAGTGTGTGTGTGTATGTCTTAGTGTGTGTGTGTATGTCTTAGTGTGTGTGTGTATATGTCTTAGTGTGTGTGTATGTCTTAGTGTGTGTGTATGTCTTAGTGTGTGTGTGTATGTCTTAGTGTGTGTGTGTATGTCTTAGTGTGTGTGTGTATGTCTTAGTGTGTGTGTGTATGTCTTAGTGTGTGTGTGTTTGTCTTAGTGTGTGTGTTTGTCTTAGTGTGTGTGTATGTCTTAGTGTGTGTGTGTATGTCTTAGTGTGTGTGTGTATGTTTTAGTGTGTGTGTATGTCTTAGTGTGTGTGTATGTCTTAGTGTGTGTGTATGTCTTAGTGTGTGTGTTTGTCTTAGTGTGTGTGTATGTCTTAGTGTGTGTGTATGTCTAAGTGTGTGTGTTTGTCTAAGTGTGTGTGTTTGTCTTAGTGTGTGTGTGTGTATGTCTTAGTGTGTGTGTTTGTCTTAGTGTGTGTGTATGTCTTAGTGTGTGTGTATGTCTTAGTGTGTGTGTTTGTCTTAGTGTGTGTGTATGTCTTAGTGTGTGTGTATGTCTTAGTGTGTGTGTATGTCTTAGTGTGTGTGTTTGTCTTAGTGTGTGTGTATGTCTTAGTGTGTGTGTGTGTCTTAGTGTGTGTGTGGTATCCTCCACATCATTAACAAGGTGTTTTCTTTAGCTCTGTTCGTTCCTTTCGGCTGGGCTGTGGCTTTGAACTGGCTGTGTTTAATCAGAAACCTCAGTGTAATCCCACTATTTTTAACATATTAACCAGAACATGCCTGGTGTTTACGGAGCTACCCAGAACAGAGCACAGCATTCCACCAGATTTCCGTAACTGCTGGAGCTGTGGGGAAATAATGATGAATTCAATGCTGAGAACAATCAAACATAGGTATGGGTTGGATCTATCATTCTGGAGTTAAAGACAGGAACCAGAGATTAGGAGAGGCTGTTTTTTAAAATTAATTTAACATGCAAGGCAATAGGCCTTGCGAAATAATACACACAAATAAATCCTTTAATCTTGTTGCCAATTCTTTTCCCAGTGGTTTACACCAGAAACTGGAGAAAAAATTAAATAAGAAATTGATACCCCTGCTCTCACATCACACATTTACACCCTTTAAACATTTGGTCTGAAGGAATTGTCATGTTGCAGCGGTAAAGATTTGTGTGATGGTACCAGTGGGATTTGGTCCATTTGAATATATATCGTTTGGAGTTTCTGTCTGAACTTTCTCGCTCAGTGTTCAACATAATGTCTCTGAGCCTCTACTCTCACAGGTGAATTACCTCTATTGAACTGATTCAATGATAATGGTAACATGCGTATCATTTATGTGTAATATGTGCGCAATATGCTTATCTATGTGTGTTTAGAAATTAAGCACACATAATGAGGCATATCTGAAAGGTGTGATCCCTCATGAACATTGTACACCAGTGGAGGCTGCTGATAATGGCTGGAATGGAGTCAAGGGAATGATTGAAAACCATGTGTTTGATGCCATTCCATTTACTCCATTTCAGCCATTATTATAAGCCGTCCTCCCCTCAGCAGCCTCCACTGTTGTACACCTTTTGTGGCTGAGTGCTGCTGAGTTCCAGGCTGAGCTCCTCACGATGAAGCAGAACTGTGCTTCACTACTAAATCTGAGTCAAAGCCAAAGAACATCAATCTCCCTTTAAAACAGATCCCAGCATCAGACAGGGACAACCCTCATTCATAACAACATGGGATGATGGACGGAGGAAAGAGAAGGGGGCCAGAGAGAGAAACAACACAGGGAAAGAGAGAGGAGAATGAAGACAGGGAAAGAGAGAGAGTTGTGTGTGTGTGTTAGTTTGTGTGTGTTTGTTAGTGTGTGTGTGTGTGTGTGTGTTAGTGTGTGTGTGTGTGTGTTTGTTGTGTGTGTGTGTGTGTGTGTGTGTGTGTTGTGTGTGTGTGTTCGTGTGTGTGTGTGTGTTGTTAGTGTGTGTCTGTCTGTCTGTTCGTGTGTGTGTTGTAGTGTGTTCGTGTGTGTGTGTGTGTGTGGTGTTCGTGTGTGTGTGTGTGTCTGTGTGTTCGTGTGTGTGTGTGTGTGTGTGTTTGTGTGGGTTTGTTGTGTCGTGTGTGCTTGTGTCTGTTGGTGTGTGTGGTGTGTGTGTGTGTTTCGTGTGTGTTGTGTGGTGTGTGTGTTCGTGTGTGTGTGTGTGTGTGTGGTGTGTGGTGTGTGTGTGTCCGTGCCCGCATAGGTTGTGTGTATGTTTGTTAGTGTGTGTGTGTGTATGCCTTGTATGCATATATGTTAGGTGTGTGTGTGTGTTTGTGTGTGTGTGTGTCCGTGCCCGCATGCGTTGTATGTGTATATGAAATGTGTGTGTGTACGTGAGAGAGCATCTCTTGGAGCAGTTAGTCCTCCTCCTTCCCAGAGGGCACAGCACGGTCACTTCCTGCTGATGACAGCTGACCACAAAGTCTTGGCCTTTGTTTCAATCGCTCCAGAACAAAGGGCTTCCCTGAACCATCGATCACTACGGCTGAACACAAGGCTGAAGAGAGAGCACGACTCAGGTTTCAGATGGAGAAGGAGCGAGAGAGAGACGGAGAGAGAGAGAGAGAGAGAGCGAGAGAAGAGCGAGAGAGAGAGAGAGAGAGCGAGAGAGAGAGAGAGAGCGATAGAGAGAGGAGAGAGAGAGGCGAGAGAGAGATAGAGCCTGAAATATAGAGAGAGAGAGATCTCGCTGCTTATCTATATCTCTATCACTCTAGAGATATCTCTAGCCATACTACGATCTACTGATATAGCGAGAGAGATAGATCGAATAGAGATAGAGAGAGAAGATATGAGCATATGACGTGCTAATTTCACAGTGTGTTGCCGTCAGCCCAGAGAGTGGTTCATACAGAGCAGAACCCTAACCCAGCCAGCAGTGTGTGTGTGTGTGTGTGTGTGTGTGTGTGTGTGTGTGTGTGTGTGTGTGTGTGTGTGTGTATGTGAGCTCACCTCTCGGTCATGTTGACCACGATGAGCTGAGGGGATTTCATGGAGATCTGACCCAACTGGTTCAGGGGGAATTTGCCATCTGTCGTGAACACCACGATATGATCCAGAGCTCCTGAAAAGGACCAGAATAAAACATGAATTGAATAAACTTCAATGATAAACTTAATTGATTTCCCAGAGGGGAAATTGGATGTCACCAGCATATAACACAAGACATGTCCAAGCATATGACCAAAACAACTTAACTATTATCTAGACCCGCCTAAACCCTCATCACCTAAAATGGCATTGAGTACTCGATCCAAACCAACCTCCCCACAATTCAATTGGCAGAGTGTAAGCTGAGGCTTATGGTTGGGGTGCAGAACTGAGAAATAGCTTCTATCTCCAGGCCATCAGACTGTTAAACAGTCACCACTAGCCGGTCTCCGCCCAATACCCGGCCCTGAACCTTAGTCACTGTTACTAGCCGGCTACCACCCGGTACTCTACCCTGCACCCTAGAGACTGCTGCCCTATGTACAGAGAGTCATTGAACACTGGTCACTTTAATACTTTTTACATACTGTTTCACCCACTTTATATGTACACTGAGTGTACAAAACATTAGGAAGACCTGCTCTTCCATGACATGGACTGACCAGGTGAAAGCTATGATCCCTTATTGATGTCACTTGTTAAATCCACTTCAATCATTGTAAATGATGGGGAGGAGACAGGTTAAAGAAGGATTTTTAAGCCTTGAGACAATTGAGACATGGATTGTGTTTGTGTGCCATTTAGAGGGTGAATGGGCAAGACAAAATATTTAAGTGCCTTTGAACAGGGTATGGTAATAGGTGCCAGGCGCACCGGTTTGAGTGTGTCAAGAACTGCAACGCTGCTGGGTTCTTCACGCTCAACAGTTTCCCGTGTCTATCAAGAATGGTCCACCACCCAAAGTACATTCAGCCAACTTGACACAACTGTGGGAAGCATTGGAGTCAACATGGACCAGCATCCCTGTGAAACGCTTTCGACACCTTGAAGAGTCCATGCTCCGACAAATTGAGGCTGTTCTGAGGGCAAAAGGGGGTGACAACTCAATATAAGGAAACTGTTCCTAATGTTTTGTACACTCAGTGTAGATACTCTATTCTAGATATATGGCTCATCCTATATAACTACTGCAGTACACATATTTTCTATTCATATACTGTCCATACTGTCTATACACACCATTATATGTACAGTGAGGGAAAAAAGTATTTGATCCCCTGCTGATTTTGTATGTTTGCCCACTGACAAAGACATGATCAGTCTATAATTTTTATGGTAGGTTTATTTGAACAGTTAGAGACAGAATAACAACAACAAAAATCCAGAAAAACGCATGTCAAAAATGTTATAAATTGATTTGCATTTTAATGAGGGAAATAAGTATTTGACCCCTCTGCAAAACATGACTTAGTACTTGGTGGGAAATCCCTTGTTGGCAATCACAGAGGTTAGATGTTTCTTGTAGTTGGCCACCAGGTTTGCACACATCTCAGGAGGGATTTTGTCCCACTCCTCTTTGCAGATCTTCTCCAAATCATTAAGATTTCGAGGCTGAAGTTTGGCAACTCGAACCTTCAGCTCCCTCCACAGATTTTCTATGGGATTAAGGTCTGGAGACTGGCTAGGCCACTCCAGGACCTTAATGTGCTTCTTCTTGAGCCACTCCTTTGTTGCCTTGGCCGTGTGTTTTGGGTCATTGTCATGCTGGAATACCCATCCACAACCCGTTTTCAATGCCCTGGCTGAGGGAAGGAGGTTCTCACCCAAGATTTGACGGTACATGGCCCCGTCCATCGTCCCTTTGATGCGGTGCAGTTGTCCTGTCCCCTTAGCAGAAAAACACCCCCAAAGCATAATGTTTCCACCTCCATGTTTAACGCTGGGGATGGTGTTCTTGGGGTCATAGGCAGCATTCCTCCTCCTCCAAACACGGAGAGTTGAGTTGATGTCAAAGAGCTCAATTTTGGTCTCATCTGACCACAACACTTTCACCCAGTTCTCCTCTGAATCATTCAGATGTTCATTGGCAAACTTCAGATGGGCCTGTATATGTGCTTTCTTGAGCAGGGGGACCTTGCGGGCGCTGCAGGATTTCAGTCCTTTACGGCGTAGTGTGTTACCAATTGTTTTCTTGGTGACTATGGTCCCAGCTGCCTTGAGATCATTGACAAGATCCTCACGTGTAGTTCTGGGCTGATTCCTCACCGTTCTCATGATCATTGCAACTCCACGAGGTGAGATCTTGCATGGAGCCCCAGGCCGAGGGAGATTGACAGGTCTTTTGTGTTTCTTCCATTTGCGAATAATCGCACCAACTGTTGTCACCTTCTCACCAAGCTGCTTGGCGATGGTCTTGTAGCCCATTCCAGCCTTGTGTAGGTCTATAATCTTGTCCCTGACATCCTTGGAGAGCTCTTTGGTGTTGGCCATGGTGGAGAGTTTGGAATCTGATTGATTGCTTCTGTGGACAGGTGTCTTTTATACAGGTAACAAACTGAGATTAGGAGCACTCCCTTTAAGAGTGTGCTCCTAATCTCAGCTCGTTACCTGTATAAAAGACACCTGGGAGCCAGAAATCTTTCTGATTGAGAGCGGGTCAAATACTTATTTCCCTCATTAAAATGCAAATCAATTTATAAAATTTTTGACATGCGTTTTTCTGGATTTTGTTGTTGTTATTCTATCTCTCACTGTTCAAATAAACCTACCATTAAAATTATAGACTGATCATTTCTTTGTCAGTGGGCAAACGTACAAAATCAGCAGGGGATCAAATACTTTTTTCCCTCACTGTATATATATTTATATACATTATATGTATATATATTTATATTCCAGTCTCTGACATTGCTTGTTCTGATATTTCTTAATTTTGTATATATTTATTTTTCTGGATTATGTGTGTATTCTTTTTACTAGGTATAACTGTACTGTTGGAGCTAGAAACTCAAGCATTTCGCTGCACCTGCAATAACATCGGCAAAACTGTGTATGTGACCAATATACGTTGATTTGGTTTGGTTTTGATGGGGTGCAGGTTTCTGAGTCCTGCTCTGTGAGGCCCCTGCCCACTATCCTAACCCTCATCTCCTCTCTCTCTCACCCCCTAACAGTGCAGACTGCAGAACCAGAGCTACTCTACAACATGAGTCTCCTTTCCTCATCTGGCTTACCTCAGAAGCCACCGTTTCCTCCCTCTCTGTCCTCTGCCTTACATCACCAACTCTATGGTGGGGAGGTGGAGTGGGCTCTAGATTATTCTACCACTTGTTTTGTATAGGAGTGGGACAACCACCATTCTGGGTACTTATACTTGTGCTTTAGAAAGGCAAAATGTATTGCTTGCTTCATTCTAATTTCCAGCTGTAAAGACTCACAGGTCCTTAACAGATTTGGACGCCTCATTTAGACACATTCAACACCAACGACCGAACCTTAATTGTAACTGAGTGCAACCGGTGTGAAATCGTTAGCTAGCTAGAGGTGCGTACTAGTTGCGGTTCAATCAGTGACGTCACTCGCTCTGAGACGTTGCAGTAGTTGTTTCCCTTGCTCTGCAAGGGCTGTGGCTTTTGTGGAGCGATAGGTAAAGATGCTTCGTGGGAGGCAGTTGTTGATGTGTTCAGAGGGTCCCTGGTTTGAGCCCAGGTTGGGGCAAGGAGAGGGACAGAAGAAATACTGTTAAATGAGTGTAAAAAGAACAGAGGCACTGAGTTAACCCAGCTATTGTGAACAGTGAGTGCATGCCACGACAGTTAGAGCTAGTCTGGTCTGAGATGTTGGCTGGTAAGAAAGACTTCCTGTCAACCATGTCTGTGACTCTGGGCCCTTACTTCAACCCAAGGCAGGCCCTCAGTGCCTCTCTGTATTACCTGAAAGTGGTAGGAATGTGTGATAATATGCAGTACTTTTAATAAACTTGATTTGATTCTCAGTGTCAGCCCAACTGTCTGTGCTACCTGGGCCCTTGCCTCGTTCCCAGGCTAATTACTAGAGCCGGCTGGTGGACGAGAGAGACTACCTGGGCCTCTATGCCTGGCTGCCTGCTCTGAACATCTGCTTACACTTCCAGAGGGCACACATGCATTTCCTAAACGGCACGAGGAGGGATGTGGATCGACTGGGAAGCCATTAGCCAAATGGGCTCTTCCTGGTCAGGGCACAGGCAGCTGACCCACAATGGTGAAAGGTAGACTAGTAGTCAACAATATAGGCTTTCTCAAAAAATTAAACATACATATCCTGGGTTGTGTTCAGTAGGGCACACCGTAGAAAACCATTTTGCAACAGAATACAAAAATGTATTCTATAGGACACATTCAGGTAGTAGCTAACCCCCAGTTTGAACTATGGAAGCCTATGCTAACCAATCTCTGGGTGACTGGGGTCCTGATCTGTTATATAAATGGCTTTCCTTTCACAGTGTTTTAATCTGAGCTGTCCAGGGAGGACTGGATAGCCTGACATTAGCCCAGCGTTCCCATGGAAAAGAGAGATTAGTCTTCTTCTAGCAGAGGAACTGACAGAGTGACAGGCTGTAATATCTCCTGTGTGTGTGTGTGTGTGTGTGTGTGTGTGTGTGTGTGTGTGTGTGTGTGTGTGTGTGTGTGTGGTAAATTTTTTGGGGAATGATCAGCTGACTGAAGTCAGGACGGCCGGGCATTCGTGCGGTTGAATCCATTTCTGCGATAACATTGCTATTAACAACGTGATTAAACTTTGTTGCCCCTTGCTGAAACAAGCAAGGTGTTATAGCAAACGACGGATAGAATGGGCTTGGAACTTGTCTGAGTACCAGTCTCTTTAGCTAACATTCCACTCCTTGTCATTGTCAAAGAGACTAGCCTTTTGGAAATCTCAACGTTCAATATGCAGCTGGATTTATGGCGGATTTGCTCATTGGTTGTTGGAAATAACATTCCTATTTTCCATGACAATATGTGGAGCCTCGAAAATAGAATTACAATTTAAGTCAAAAACAAACATTTAGCTGTTAGCTAGGCAAAATTACCATAAAACTTAAATTAATAGCCCGGGCGTTTATTTTGCTTCAATCAAATCTAATTTTATTGGTCACATACACGTGTTTAGCAGATGTTATTGCGGGCGTAGCGAAATGCTTGTGTTTCTAGCTCCAACAGTGCAGTAATATCTAACAAGTAATATTTAACAAATTCACAACAATACACACAATACACACAAATCTAAAGTACAGTGCCTTGCAAAAGTATTCATCCCCCTTGGCGTGTTCCTATTTTGTTGCATTACAACCTGTAATTTAAATGGATTTTTATTTGAATTTCATGTAATAGACATACACAAAATAGTCCAAATTGGTGAAGTGAAATGAAAAAAAAAATTGTTTCAAAAAATTCAAACAAATAAATAACGGAAAAGTGGTGCGTGCATATGTATTCACCCCCTTTGCTATGAAGCCCTTAAATAAGATCTGGTGCAACCAATTACCTTCAGAAGTCACATAATTAGTTAAATAAAGTCCACCTGTGTCCAATCTAAGTGTCACATGATCTGTCACATGATCTCAGTATATATACACCTGTTCTGTAAGGCCCCAGAGTCTGCAACACCACTAAGCAAGGGGTAGCACCAAGCAAGCGGCACCATGAAGACCAAGGAGCTCTCCAAACAGGTCAGGGACAAAGTTGTGGAGAAGCCACTGCTCCAAAACCGCCATAAAAAAGCCAGACTACGGTTTGCAACTGCACATGGGGACAAAGATCGTACTTTTTGGAGAAATGTCTTCTGGTCTGATGAAACAAAAATAGAACTGTTTGGCCATAATGACCATCGTTATGTTTGGAGGAAAAAGGGGAATGCTTGCAAGCCGAAGAACACCATCCCAACTGTGAAGCACGGGGGTGGCAGCATCATGCTGTGGGGGTGCTTTGCTGCAGGATGGACTGGTGCACTTCACAAAATAGATGGTATCAGGAGGAAGAAAAATTATGTGGATATATTGAAGCAACATCTCAAGACATCAGTCAGGAAGTTAAAGCTTGGTCGCAAATGGGTCTTCCAAATGGACAATGACCCCAAGCATACTTCCAAGGTTTTGGCAAAATGGCTTAAGGACAACAAAGTCAAGGTATTGGAGTGGCCATCACAAAGCCCTGACCTCAATCCTATAGAAAGTTTGTGGGCAGAACTGAAAAAGCGTGTGCGAGCAAGAGGCCTACAAACCTGACTCAGTTACACCAGCTCTGTCAGGAGGAATGGGCCAAAATCCCCCCAACTTATTGTGGGAAGCTTGTGGAAGGCTACCCGAAACGTTTGACCCAAGTTAAACAATTTAAAGGCAATGCTACCAAATACTAATTGAGTGTATGTAAACTTCTGACCCACTGGGAATGTGATGAAAGAAAAGCTGAAATAAATCATTCTCTCTACTATTATTCTGATATTTCACATTCTTAAAATAAAGTGGATTTTTACTAGGATGTCAGGAATTGTGAAAAACTGAGTTTAAATGTATTTGGCTAAGGTGTTTGTAAACTTCCGACTTCAACTGTATGAGATGAGTAATGCAAAATATGTAAACATTATTGAAGTGACTAGTGTTCCATTATTAAAGTGGCCAGTGATTTCAGTCTATGTATATAGGGCAGCAGCCTCTAATGTGCTAGTGATGGCTATTTAACAGTCTGAGGGCCTTAAGATAGAAGCTGTTTTTCATTCTCTCGGTCCCAGCTTTGATACACCTGTACTGACCTCGCCTTCTGGATGATAGAGGGGTGAACAGGCAGTGCCTCGGGTGGTTGTTGTCCTTGATTATCTTTTTGGCCTTCCTGTGACATCGGGTGCTCTAGGTGTCCTGGAGGGCAGGTAGTTTGCCCCCGGTCACTGAACACAACCGCCGTTTTTTAGAGACAGGCTTCTATTTGAGCCAGGCGTCTATTTCCTTAATGTACACAGCTTTTGGTCAATAAAATGTTGTAAAGACTACCACACTGTTTATTGTGTCCAGTATAAAAATAATAATAACAAATCCATCTTCTTTTGCGCAATCTCGATGGTACTCAATTAAGTTAATAATAATAATAATAATAATATGCCATTTAGCAGACGCTTTTATCCAAAGCTACTTACAGTCATGCGTGCATAAAAATGTTTTGTGTACGGGTGGTCCCGGGGATCGAACCCACTACCTTGACGTTACAAGCGCCGTGCTCTACCAGCTGAGCTACAGAGGACCACAAGTTCACTCATAAACAATTAATTTAGATCCGTTGTTTATTTGAAATAGCCGTTTATTTGCTGAAAATGTGTGCCGATGCCTGGTTATTAAAAGAGATAGGCGGCTATTTGAGAATGCGTTTAATTTAAGTTTACGGTAGTTTGAGAATTTAGAAGTGAGCTAGCAACTTTTCACAGACTGTTTCACCTGGACAAATAAAAAGAAAAGTAGAAAAGTAATCTTTACACATTTTGTACTTTTCTTAAATGTAGTTTTGTAATTGCACACAACAAGAAAATTGACTTTGAAAATTGTCAAGTTTTTGCTGTGAGCTAATGGGGTAGCCAAGGTAACCATGGGTTGTTTTCCCCACAGGCGCAAAGTTCTATTTAATACCGACTGGGCCTATGGGTACACTCGTAATGGCCGCCAGTCCACCCATTATACCATCATTGACTTGAATGGGGACACCCATTCTATTCATTATATTTCTATGACAGCACATGCTGTCAGGACCGGATGAAAGGAGAAAATGTGCATAAAAAATATATATATATTCACTACCAGTCAAAAGTTTGGACACACCTACTCATTCAAGTGTTTTTCTATATCAATTAACAGGTGTGCCTTCTTAAAAGTTAATTTGTGGAATTTCATTCCTTCTTAATGCGTTTGAGCCAATCAGTTGTGTTGGGACAATGTAGGGGGGGTATACAGAAGATAGCCCTATTTGGTAAAAGACCAAGTCCATATTATGGCAAGAAAAGCTCAAATAAGCAAAGAGAAACGACAGTCCGTCATTACTTTAAGACATGAAGGTCAATCAATCCGGAAAATGTCAAGAACTTTTAACGTTTCTTCAAGTGCAGTTGCAAAAACCATCAAGCGCTATGATGAAACTGGCTCTCATGAGGACCGCCACAGGAATGGAAGACCCATTCTGCTGCAGAGGATAAATTCATTAGAGTTACCAGCCTCAGAAATTGCTGCCCAAATAAATGCTTCACAGAGTTCAAGAAACAGACACATCTCAACACCAACTGTTCAGAGGAGACTGTGTGAATCAGGCCTTCATGGTCGAATTGCTGCAAAGAAACCACTACTAAAGGACACCAATAAGAAGAAGAGACTTGCTTGGGCCAAGAAATACAAGCAATGGACATTAGACCGGTGTAAGTTTGAGTCCAAATTTGAGATTTTTGGTTCCAACCGCCGTGTCTTTGTGAGACGCGGTGTGGGTGAACGGATGATATCCTCATGTGTAGTTCCCACTGTAAAGCATGGAGGAGGAGGTGTTATGGTGTGGGGTTGCTTTGCTGGTGAAGCTTTCTGTGATTTATTTAGAATTCAAGGCACACTTAACCAGCATGGCCACAGCATTCTGCAGCGATACGCCATCCCATCTGGTTTGTGCTTAGTGGGACTATCATTTGTTTTTCAACAGGACAATGACCCAACACACCTCCAGGCTGTGTAAGGGCTATTTGACCAAGAAGGAGAGTGATGGAGTGCTGCATCAGATAACCTGGCCTCCACAATCCCCCGACGTCAACCCAATTGAGATGGTTTGGGATGGCAGAGTGAAGGAAAAGCAGCCAACAAGTGCTCAGCATATGTGGGAACTCCTTCAAGACTGTTGGAAAAGCATTCCAGGTGAAGCTGGTTGAGAGAATGCCAAGAGTGTGCAAAGCTGTCATCAAGGCAAAGGGTGGCTATTTGAAGAATCTCAAATATCAAATAGATTTTGATTTGTTTAACACTTTTTTTGGTTACTACAGGATTCCGTATGTGTTATTTCATAGTTTTGATGTCTTCACTATTATTCTACAATGTAGAAAATAGTAAAAATAAAGAAAAACCCTTGAATGAGTAGGTATGTCCAAACTTTTGACTGGTACTGTAGGTTTATTTTTTTTATTTTTATGCTATGGCTAGCCAATTACGGTCATCCAAAATTCCATGAACGTTACAGTCCTACCCAGACAACGGTTCATCAAATTAATCCGCCCTCTACAACAGCCCTTCCTTCAGCTAAGGTGACTTTCCACTCCCCTTTACAACAAAAACATCACATAATGAGACACAGATGAGACTATTATCAAACACACACAAGAACAAAATGATGTCATGATTCCCCCATTCCAGCATCTCTCCAGTCAAGAATTCCCTGTCAGTTTTAAGCCCTGCTGCTTCCATGGATTACTGTGCATCTGGACAGAGGGGCACAGGGTGAGGGAGGGAGAGGGTGAGAGGAGGGGGAGAGGGTATGGAGGAGGAATGGAGGGGTAAGGATGATAGGGAGGGATGGGGGGGTAAGGATGATAGGGAGGGATGGGGGGGGTAAGGATGATAGGGAGGGATGGGAGGGTAAGGATGATAGGGAGGGATGGGGGGGTAAGGATGATAAGGAGGGATGGGGGGGGTAAGGATGATAGGGAGGGATGGGGGGGTAAGGATGATAGGGAGGGATGGGGGGGTAAGGATGATAGGGAGGGATGGGGGGGTAAGGATGATAGGGATGGATGGGGGGGTAAGGATGATAGGGAGGGATGGGGGGGTAAGGATGATAAGGAGGGATGGGGGGGGTAAGGATGATAGGGAGGGATGGGGGGGGTAAGGATGATAGGGAGGGATGGGGGGGTAAGGATGATAGGGAGGGATGGGGGGGTAAGGATGATAGGGATGGATGGGGGGGTAAGGATGATAGGGAGGGATGGGGGGGTGGGGGTGAGGGAGGGGTATTTCATCTGAGTATAGATCCTGGTGTTGCAGCTTCCCCTTAGGGCCCTCCCATTTAGCCCCCAAAGGGGAGAGGGGGGACAGGGGAGGAGAAAGGCTGTGACCTGGATGTCAAGGTCAACAGGGGTCAAGGTAAAAGGGCAGGGTTCACTCTGACCCCTCAGGGAGAAAGTAAACACATGGAGTTGCACTTTTCCTCATCTTTTGACCAATAATTAAATGAAAACCAACAGTGGACTTTAGTCTTTTTATGCTTACAAAGATGGACACAGCTCAAACTTCAGGGCTGCAGGGCTATGCATCCCTTGTTGAACAATCGGTGGCTGATATATACATAAATTAAAATATAACTTAAAAGTATCCTCTCCGTAATCTCAGCTCCCAGAACTGAGTGCACTGGTCAGCTACTCAACAGTCGTCATCAGAGACGAAACAAGATTCAGAGAGTGAGTGCCCCTACCTTAGTCTATGGCCCCTATGTACCTGGAGAGGTTTTGATGCTCAGGTTCTGGCTGAATTCCTCCTTCAGGGCGGTGAGGATGGCGGCCATCTCCTCATTCACTTCCTCCAGACTGATGATATCCTCCACCAGCGAGGAGTTGATGTTCACTTCGGCCGCCTGGCCCTTCGCTGCCTTCGCTGAGGGGAAAAAGAAAACCAGCAGCCTTCACTACAAGAGAGACTTCAAAGGGGAAGAACAGAAGGAGGATGGAGGAGAGGAAGGAGACCTGCATGCTGGTAGTCTAGTCTAGTCAATCACAGTTATTACAAATAATAGTAAGATGAGAATACACAGTGAAGTGGGGTTTTCTTCAACCTCCTCAAAAAGACTAAAAAAACTCTTGAATGTTCCCGACCACCACTTCAGTACACAAGCAGAATAGAGAGACATAAAACCCTTTCAACGACACGACACATGGATGGGTGGATGAAGTCTTGATTCCTACCCCTATATTTCCTCAGCCTTTGAGGGGTTTTTGATGGCAACACTAGACAAAATCAGATAGGTACAAAGCCGTTGAGTGGCAACCAGCCCTCCACTCACCTTTACTCTTCTTGGCGTCATGCAGGCAAACGCAGGCGGCGGCGGTGGGGCGATGTTTTGATGACATGTATTTGGGAGCAGCAGTGGGACTCTGGAGCTGACCGCCAGCTGAGAGGGAGACCTCACCAAAGGGACCAGGCATCGGCACAATGCCGGCTACAGTAGGCCCAGCTGACTCAATGCCATCGCTGTCACACACAGATACACAAATGACAGACATACAGAGAAGCATAACAAAAACATTCTTGAGAATTATGCAGATATTATTACAGTCTGATGTTATGACAAAACACAAGCATAGTCACGTAAATAAAAATACTAAAGCACGGAAATAAAATACCAACATATCTATCTATCTATCTATCTATCTATCTATCTCCTTTCATATTAGTGCAATGATATAACAGGACCATGGATGGCAACCTGTAATAATAGCCAGCAGGGGGCGATACTTATGTCTATCTACATACTGTATGTTGCTGCTTCAAGTGTTTAGCACACAGCTGCTGCTAAACCGTGGACACCACTGCAAAAATTATATATCTTTTTTTTTTTTTATAAAATGTGGGTGATAAAAGTTTTCAGTGTAAACTTAAACAACTAAACCCAGATATAAAGTATGTAGAAAAGATAATGGAGCAATATATTTTCTAATAAGATCATCTTTGAGAACTAACAATCATCAACGGGTGAACAACCAGCCATGTATCATACCCAGGATTACATAATCTATTGTGTGTGATGAATTCACACTCCTTACAACCAGCCATGTATCATACCCAGGATTACATAATCTATTGTGTGTGATGAATTCACACTCCTTACAAACCATTAAGAGAAATGGGGCACTACGCTATACTATCACACCAGGCGAATAGACACTGTCAACGTCACCCTCGTAAATCGCCTCAACAGTATGTTTGTGTCCCAATTAAATGGTGCCCAAGCTCTATGAGCCCTGGTGAAAAGTAGTGCACTATATAGGGAATAAGGTGCCATTTGGGATGCAGCCTACATCTACAGTGGGGAAAAAAAGTATTTAGTCAGTCACCAATTGTGCAAGTTCTCCCACTTAAAAAGATGAGAGAGGCCTGTAATTTTCATCATAGGTACACGTCAACTATGACAGACAAAATGAGAAAAAAATTCCAGAAAATCACATTGTAGGATTTTTTATGAATTTATTTGCAAATTATGGTGGAAAATAAGTATTTGGTCAATAACAAAAGTTTCTCAATACTTTGTTATATACCCTTTGTTGGCAATGACACAGGTCAAACGTTTTCTGTAAGTCTTCACAAGGTTTTCACACACTGTTGCTGGTATTTTGGCCCATTCCTCCATGCAGATCTCCTCTAGAGCAGTGATGTTTTGGGGCTATCGCTGGGCAACACGGACTTTCAACTCCCTCCAAAGATTTTCTATGGGGTTGAGATCTGGAGACTGGCTAGGCCACTCCAGGACCTTGAAATGCTTCTTACGAAGCCACTCCTTCGTTGCCCGGGCAGTGTGCTTGGGATCATTGTCATGCTGAAAGACCCAGCCACGTTTCATCTTCAATGCCCTTGCTGATGGAAGGAGGTTTTCACTCAAAATCTCACGATACATGGCCCCATTCATTCTTTCCTTTACACGGATCAGTCGTCCTGGTCCCTTTGCAGAAAAACAGCCCCAAAGCATGATGTTTCCACCCCCATGCTTCACAGTAGGTATGGTGTTCTTTGGATGCAACTCAGCATTCTTTGTCCTCCAAACACGACGAGTTGAGTTTTTACCAAAAAGTTCTATTTTGGTTTCATCTGACCATATGACATTCTCCCAATCCTCTTCTGGATCATCCAAATGCACTCTAGCAAACTTCAGACGGGCCTGGACATGTACTGGCTTAAGCAGGGGGATACGTCTGGCACTGCAGGATTTGAGTCCCTGGCGGCGCAGTGTGTTACTGATGGTAGGCTTTGTTACTTTGGTCCCAGCTCTCTGCAGGTCATTCACTAGGTCCCCCCGTGTGGTTCTGGGATTTTTGCTCACCGTTCTTGTGATCATTTTGACCCCACGGGGTGAGATCTTGCGTGGAGCCCCAGATCGAGGGAGATTATCAGTGGTCTTGTATGTCTTCCATTTCCTAATAATTGCTCCCACAGTTGATTTCTTCAAACCAAGCTGCTTACATATTGCAGATTCAGTCTTCCCAGCCTGGTGCAGGTCTACAATTTTGTTTCTGGTGTCCTTTGACAGCTCTTTGGTCTTGGCCATAGTGGAGTTTGGAGTGTGACTGTTTGAGGTTGTGGACAGGTGTCTTTTATACTGATAACAAGTTCAAACAGGTGCCATTAATACAGGTAACGAGTGGAGGACAGAGGAGCCTCTTAAAGAAGAAGTTACAGGTCTGTGAGAGCCAGAAATCTTGCTTGTTTGTAGGTGACCAAATACTTATTTTCCACCATAATTTGCAAATAAATTCATTAAAGATCCTACAATGTGATTTTCTGGAATTATTTTTCTCAATTTGTCTGTCATAGTTGACGTGTACCTATGATGAAAATTACAGGCCTCTCTCATCTTTTTAAGTGGGAGAACTTTCACAATTGGTGGCTGACTAAATACTTTTTTTCTCCACTGTAAGTGTGAAGCTTCAGGCTTGGCTCCAAGTCATAATACCATCTTGCTTTGTGTGTATAGAGAGATGGGATACTGATATACACTCAGTGGCCAGTTTATTAGGTACACAAAAATGGTTCGCTCGTGGCTTGTTATATAAAGCAGGCAGACAGGCATCGAAGCATTCAATTACTGTTCAATTGAACGTTAGAATGGGCAAAACCAGTGACCTAAGCGACTTTGAGCGTGGTATGATCGTTGGTGCCAGGTGTGGTATGATCGTTGGTGCCAGGCGAGCCGGTTCCAGAACCTCAGAAACGGTTGGCCTCCTGGGCTTTTTACGCATGAGTGTCTAGGGTTTACCGAGAATGGTGCGACAAACAAAAAACATCCAGTCAGCGGCAGTCCTGTGGGCGAAAACTGCTAGTTGATGAGAGAGGTCGCAGAACGGCATCTTGGAATGCACAACTCGTCGGTCCTTGTCAAGGATGGGCTATTGCAGCAGACAACCACACCCCGGGTTCAACTCCTATCAGCTAAAAAACAACAAATGGGCTATTGTAGCAGACGACCACACCGGGTTCAACTCCTATCAGCTAAAAACAAGAAGAAGTGGTTCCAGTGGGCACGAGATCACCAACACTGAACAATTGAGGAGTGGAAAAACATTGCCTGGTCTGACGAATGCTGGTTCCTGTTGCGTCATGCTGGTGGCAGAGTCAGGATTTGGCATAAGCAGCATGAGTCCATGGCCCCATCCTGCCTGGTGTCAACGGTACAGGCTGGTGGCTGTGGTGTAATGGTGTGGAGAATGTTTTCCTGGCACACGTTAGGTCCCTTGATAGAACGTTTGAATGCCACATCATATCTGAACATTGTTGCTGACCAGGTGCATCCTTTCATGGCTACAGGGGGCCTGACCCGGTACTAGATGGGTGTACCTAATAGACTGGCCACTGAGTGTACATCACGAGCAGGCAGGGGGATCCAGCACAGCCTACAGCCTCCCCTGAAACATCAGTGTTGTTACAGTCAGCAGCTCTCTACTGTATCAATAATATCTGGGACAGAAGGCAGAGACCATACAAGTGCTTTATTCTCTAAACAAACCCAGGTTGGCTGATTTTATCACTCCCTTGTAAAGCCAGCAGCAGGCAGGCTCACTAAAAGACACGACTGGTGCCTGGTGGTAAGGCTATAGGAAGATCAAAAATAAAAAGCATGACTCTTTTGTGTTACCTCTAGGGTAGCTGTAACAATTGGTAGTGTGTCTGAGTCCACTGGAAGGGATAGAGGGGGGATGATGGCTGTCTTTTCAAGTGAAGTGAAGCAGAAAAACTGTAGCACAGGTGTTCAGTGGGATACTGTATCTCTGTTTACATTTACATTTACATTTTAGTCATTTAGCAGACGCTCTTTTCCAGAGCGACTTACAGTTAGTGAATACATATTTTTTTATACTGGCCCCCCGTGGGAATCGAACCCACAACCCTGGCGTTGCAAACGCCATGCTCTATCAACTGAGCTACATCCCTGCCGGCCATTCCCTCCCCTACCCTGGACGACGCTGGGCCAATTGTGCGCCGCCCATGAGTCTCCCGGTCGCGGCCGGCTGCGACAGAGCCTGGATTCGAACCAGGATCTCTAGTGGCACAGTTAGCACTGCGATGCAGTGCCTTAGACCACTGCGCCACTCAGGAGTATGTTTGATATTTCTTCATAAACCGCGAGAGGCCAGCTGGCATGCCCACAGTGTACGACATCACTGAATATTGCTGGCCTATGTTTTTTTTAAAGCTAAAAATCTTAATTGAAACAATAACAAAGCGTACTCCCCGCCCCTGTTTCGCTAAAAAAGTTAAAGGATGGGACTGGAGAATTGTGACCACTCTCAAATGTATAGACAGAGCTATGGATGGACCACCCATGATATCAAATATATAGTTTTAAGCATGTTCAGAGGCTATACAGTGTTTGTTTAGTTACCTTGTTTACAAACATTGGAGTAAAACTTAGGCCTATATTTTGGGTTCTGATGGGGTACGACAGTTGAATGAGGCATTTATAAGTTGTATTCTTCAAGAATCAATGGGTATGTTACAGTATATCATGCATTTATTAGTCCAAAAATTGATGTAGCAACTAAGGATTCTAGCTTTAACAGTAGCTATGTTACACTGGACAATATTTAAACACTTCTACAGCCGTTATAAGCATTCATACGTCCAGGGTTATTAGATAGTTTACTGCATATCGATCATATCAATATCAATCATGCATGTAACACACTGTAACACGAAAGCTAGCTAGCTTAGCATGATAGCTATTACTAGCTAGCTACACAGTTTGTGGAATTTATCTGTCATGTATGGAAGGAAGGTCGTTGGACATGCATTCGAGTAAGCTTAAAGACATATTGGATCGATACAAGAGTATATTTGGGATTGGATCTTTACATTGTAACTACTGTATTCATGCACAACTTCGTTACATTTTAATGTTACTACTTAGCTATATCTTGGAAAATGTGTCTATTTGCGCAAGGCTGTGAGTGATGAGCGTTGGAAAAAATGCCGCGTTCTCAACAACTGGGAACTCGGAAATCCCCGACTTTGGTTCGTGACAACTGCGAGCTCGGGGGAAAAAAACAAGCTCCGACTGCGAAAAATCGTTTTGAACCGTCATCCGACTCGGAATTCCAGGTCGGAAACTGGTGCATCTTTTTCCGCGTTCAGATGCTAGTCGGACATAGGAAACTCAGAAATGTCCGACTTGCTGATTCGTTGAATGCGGCACGTGTATAACTACAACAAGTTAGCAAGTCGGACATTTCAGAGTTTCCTAGTTCCGACTAGCACGAGAACGCGGCATTTCTAGAGCTCCGACTTTCCGACCTGAAGATCATTGACGTCATGATTCGACCTCCTTTTTTTTAGCGAGTTCTCGTTTTGTCTTGAAAGCACCAATAGTTGGAGCCAAAGCTTGCGTTATTCCTCATAGTAATTCAAATAATGTGTGTAGACTGTCTTCAACGTGTGTGCTCTTTTTGGGAGAGATTGTGTAAGACGTCATTAAACGGCGCCTTTGTTTTTGCTAATTATCTCGCGGCTAGCAGCTAGCTCACCGGAGCTTTGTGTACCAAGGTACTTTAACGAAATTATAGATTTCTGTTGACGTTTTGTTAATATAGTAATCTCCAGACGTTGAGTAGTTGAACCGTTCACCGTCAGACAAAGTTTCTACCGAACAAGGTAAATTAAAGGTTTGATACAGACACTTAGATCTAGCATAATAGCTAGCTTAGTTAGTTAGCAAAGCTTGACACTCGTCCTTGTCGAGGGCTCGAGGGTCTTGGCATTGACAAATCCATGTTGCAAAGTGAGAAACAGAAACATAATACAAACAATTCATATATATATATTATTTCATCATGGTTTATCTTTAGTAATCTAGCTAGATCCCTTGCCAATGATAGTTAACTAGATTGCTGCTAACGTAAACTAGCTAGCTAAACCAAATTGTATTGGTCGCGTACACATATTTTGCAGATGTTATCGCGGGTGTAGCGAAATGCTGATGTTCCTAGCTCCAACAGTGCAGTAATACCTAACAATCCAATACACGCATTTCCCCAAAAAGGAAGGTATTCAGAAATATTAGCACGAGCAATGAATGTCAGTATGGGATATAGATATATATGCATATGATGGTGTGTATAGATATTATGGACAGTATATACATTTTACATTTACATTTTAGTCATTTAGCAGACGCTCTTATCCAGAGCGACTTATATGAATGGAAAAGGTGTACAACAGTAGTTATATAGGATGAGCCATTACTAGCATACAGTATATACATATGAAGTGGGTAAAACAGTATGTAAACATTATTCAAGTGACCAGTGTTCAATGACTATGTACATAGGGCAGCAGTCTCTAAGGTGCAGGGTTGACTACCAGGTGGTAGCAGGCTAGTAACAGTGACTAAAGTTCAGGGCAGGGTACTGGGCCGAGGCTGGCTAGTGGTGACTATTTAACAGTCTGATGGCTAGTTAATGTTTCTGTCTGAACAGTGAATGCAGTGAAAAGTATGATCACAAAGAATGAGGACTTGTTGTGATTAGCTAGCTAGGCTACTTGATAGATGTTTTAATTTTCATACGGGTTTATCAGTATTTAATCAAGTTGTGGGACACATTATTTTGCCAAAGTCTTTGGGAGTGTGCCCCATCTCTCTCTTTCTCTCTCAGGAGACCCATGGAGTCGGCAGTGGCGACAGCGGAGAGTTCCCCCATTGTTACAGAACACAAGAAACCTATTCAGTCTGCAGTAGAGACAGTGGCGCGACCTTCTACCGTTTCAGAAAGCAAGGAACCCACACCATCAGCCGTGGAGGACAATGATGTCACCATAGTTTCAAAAAGCAAGAAAACTACACCTTTTGCAGTGGAGACGGCAGACAATGATGATGTCACTATCATTTCAGAAAGCAAGAAAACTACACCTGCAGTGGAGACGGCAGACAATGATGTCACTATCATTTCAGAAAGCAAGAAAACTACACCTTCTGCAGTGGAGACGGCAGACAATGATGATGTCACTATCATTTCAGAAAGCAAGAAACCCACGACAGCACAGCTGGCAGTGGAGACCGTGGAGAATGCTTCTATCATTTCAGAAAGCTCGTCACACGAAGGCCATCGCCTGTGGATCGGGAACATCGATCCTAAAATCACAGAGTGAGTGAATCCCCTTGGTCCATGAAGCTCGAGGTAGAATTTGCCCCTAACCACAGATCTAGGATCAGATCACCCTACTCTCAAATCCTTTCCTTAACCATCAGGTAGATTAACATGTATTTAACCCTGAACCAGTGGTAAGGTAGCCTCGTACAACCAGCCTGATCTCGCCAGCTTGCTACACAGATACGAATCATTTATGTAAGCTTGCAAGATCATGCTGGTTGTACGAGGCTAGTTGTCAGGGGCAACTTTTACCCTCTCTGACTCTGGGAGGTGGGGCGCTCGCTCCTCCCTGCCTGGGAGGCAATGCAGCAGCAGCCCAGTGGAGCGACCGCCGTGACTGGCCTGTATGATTGATTAGCCGTGTGTCTGTGAGGGCTAGAGAATGAGCAGACGACGTTGGGCGTGTGAAAGAGAGGCACTCGGGCATGGCGACCTGTTCTGCTGAAGGGCTGCCATCATTTCTCACTCACCTGGTGTGTTTACTCTGTCAACCTGTAGCTTGCTGGCTGCTCTTTTTTGCTTCAGAAGAAGGAGTGGGGTGGGGGGCAGCACAGGTTGGGATTGGCTGGTGGGCTCCTGGAAAATGTACAGCTTGCTGGGGCTGGTGTCTAGACAGCCGTTTCCTTCTCCTCTACCCTCTGTTTTCCTTTAAATAACCTGGAGTGCATCCCAAATTGCACCCTATTCCCATAGGGCTCTGGTCAAAAGTAGTGCACTATATAGGGTATAAGGAAAACAACAAAATATGCCCACAGGCTGGTGATTGGTAAGATTAATTAGTTCACATGCTCCAAGTGTTTGTTGTAGCAAGACCTACTTCAGGGCCCTCCTCTCGGTAAAGTGACAGGCAGGCAGGCAGCACTGTAGAGTTCTGTTTTTGTTTTCTGAGTGAGGGTCAGTATTCAGCTACAGGCACTTTGTTCTTTTTTTACAGCGAGCCAGGAGACCAAATAAGTGGGTAATTGAGTGCAGTAATGGAGATATGAGGTAAAAAGCTGTGCTGTAATTTCGTAGTTTTTCCGCTAATGTGTATTCTCTGTCAGATAGATTGATTGTGGTGGTGAAGAGGAGATGGGTCCTGATTTTTAAAAAAAATAAAAAAAAAAATAAATAAAAAAAAGTATTGCACTATATAGGGAATAGGGGGCCATTTGGGACAAAGTCTTAGACTCACTGCTTGCTCCAGCATCAGGAGCCATTGATCACTAATTTCTCTAAGGAGAAGTCCAAACTGGAAGATTCCCCCAGGGCATCTGGCACTACAGTTGCACTCAGAAACCTGGCGCGAAACGTTGTACACTCTTAACACCACCACTTGGTTTCTGCAACTGCTACTTTCTCTCCTCTCTTTCCCTCTCTCTCATCCCTCTCTCTAACTCTCTCTCTCTGTGTTTTCTCTCTCTCTCTCAGCCAAGAATCCTTTATTTTCTCTTGTTATTTTCTATGCTAATTAATCCACAGGTCTTCAATGATGTCAGACCCTCAGCACTGTCATCAGTCATGCGCTCAAGCCCTCCAGATCTCTGAAAGGATCCAGTCTCGGGACAATGCTGAGCGATTGCTCAATTTCCCCTTTTTTCCTTCTCTTGGAGAAGCTAAGAGTGGTGGAGAACGTAATCTGAAGTCTAACTTCACTGCTTTGCTTTATCTTGGCCAGGTCGCAGTTGTAAATGAGAACTTGTTCTCAACTGGCTTACCTGGTTTAAATAAAGGTGAAATAAAATAAAATAAACTTGTTGGAAAATTCATCATTCCGAGGTCACAGTCTGTATTCTGTCTGACCTTTGAATGAGAGAGGCTGCATTTCATCTGGGTGTGCTTTTGCTACCTTCCCCCTGTCTCAGGAAGCTGCATCACGATAGCGTATTTGTTTTTGGAGAGGCATCTGAGCTCTTATAGCAGCAGATCTGATATCTTACGAAACATGTTGTGCACCAGTCTCAGTCCCAGGCACAGGCTGTTTTAGACAAACACCAGCCTGACTGTGTTTCAGGAGTGTGTCTTTAGCGAAGGTGTCAGTCAGCAGGTGAGAGTGACAACACCCCAACCCGCCTGCTCGACCCGCATGCCCAGGCATGTCTCCCACAGACACACACCACACACGGCTAGGTCTGGCACAATTACCGTATAACTTTGTACCCGACATAACCATGGAAAAAATAAAAAGTGGAAAAAAACAGCTGACTGAATTGGCCGGGCATTTGTGTGATTGAGTCAGTTTCTGCTGCAACATGGACTCTACAGTAACATGGACTGAACAATGTGATAAAACTTTGTTGCTCCTTGCTGAAACAAGCAAGGTGTTGTAGCAAACACGTTTTTGGTTGCCTAGGCAACGCCCCCCCTCCCTGCAGCAGCACATGCAGTCAGGAGCGGAGTAGAGGAGAAAATGTGCATCTTAAAAAGATATGTATTATTCTTTTTGTTGCAATTCTAACGGTTATTACGTCATCCAAAATTCCATCACAGCCCTATAACACGGCTCCACCCACCCCATTCACACACACATAGAGAGGGGCTGCTGCTCCACTCCTGATAAGGCGCTGACATGTTGACCTGTCTGTCCCTGCTCCACAGGGGCCCATTCTAGGCCAGTGATGGATCCAGCATGTGCAATCTGAGCTGCAGGTTGTTTCTGTGCTGCGCCCTGGGATGGTGGTACAGACGGGACATGGGGCCATGCCCACTTGGTGGAGGGAGAAGAGGAAAGATGGAAAAGGATAGAAGAAAATAACTCACTGCCCTCTAGGAGAACTCACTGCCCTCTTTAGAAGAACTCACTGCCCTCTTTAACTTACCCTTTCCCAGGAAAGACCTGCTTGGGAAGACTGCCTCCTTTACCTCATGTTCATGTGAGATCATAGACCATAAAACCTCTGGGTCATGTCAGATGTTGGACCAGTCAAACGGTTGTCTCTTTCTCTTGGTCTCTTTCTTTCTCTGGTGCCCAATTTGAGAGTGGTCGCCATATTCAGGGCACATTCAGTTCCTCCCTGACTCAGTCCTCAAATAGATGATCTTAGATCGGAGGAACTGTAGGTGCTGGGCCACTTCACTGCATGGTTATTTAACAGATGTCCAGCTTGGCTCGGGTTCATGCTTTCACAGAATAACCCCCTCAAGCAAGGAGATCACTCCTCCCCTCACCAGACCTTAGCTCCCCTCCACCCCTCCTCCACCTCCCGCTGGCCGGCACGTTTTACAGCCCCCAGGAGAAGTTCATTGTGGTCTGTTAAAGGCCAGAAGTGGTCCCGTCCCCTCCTGTGGTCCTTCCTGGTGTATCAGCCCACTATCAATTCCTCAATCTGTACCAGCAGCAGGTCGCAGGAAGACATTCCATTCCAGCCTGCAGAGGGTGGAGTCTGGGAAAGTGAGAAATTCTGCTTGTAGAGAAATCTCCTGGGAGGCCAAGGAAAGACATTAATACATCCAGTCCATGAATGTATCCCAAATGGCACCCTATTCCCTATGTAGTCCACTTATTTTGACAAGGCCCCATAGGGCTATGGTCAAAAGTAGTGCATTATATAGGGAATAGGGTGACATTTGAAAGTAGTGCACTATATAGGGAATAGGGTGACATTTGGGATGCAACCCTGGATCCCTAGTACTCCCCAAGCTCCTGCTCCTAGGCTACATACCTTTCCACGATTTAAAAATAACTTTGCTGGACAAAAGTATAAAAGCAACAAGCATCTCTGTTAGGCTACTTGTACACAACACAATTCCCAGGCAGTCACTCCGGGGGGGGGAAAAATAAAGGCTTACCTATGTTTTTTTAAATTACGTAACATAGGCTATCAAGGGACATTCACATTGTAATTGTTGTACATTATGAAATAATGTAGATATTTCTTTAAACTAAGTGATTAGTCTTCAATAGGAAACATGTGTTGTATCCGACCTAAGCTTGAGATCAATAAAAACAGTTTAGACTTGGACCTAGGCTATTGCCAGAATTGAGGCTCTATTGCATTGTGTGGAATTCAACATCAGCCAATGTAGCTGTATGTCATGCTTTCAACATACCTGTGATGACTATGACACAACCACTACCCGTTTTATAATTCCATAAGAGATGATGAATATAGCCCAAAATGATGACTAGGTAGCCTTTCTATTCATCTGGTCATGCCCAGTCTACGCTGTTGATGTTTTTCTGATGACGCCCTGAATTGGTAGCGTGCAGCATAGACTTATGGCGTGCATGGACAGTCACATTTGGCTCGGACAACCGAGAGAATGCACTCTACTACGCACAGACTGCATGCTAGGCTGCCCATCAATACAGACCGTCGACATTGACATATGAAATTGGCTGCTTCTTGTTCAGACAGCTCCCCCCATTACAGCTTGGACTAAATATATCTCCTTGACGGTTTTCCCAACTTCTGTCTCTGTTATACGTGTGCGAGAACTCTCGTAATCACTTCTACTTGAACTTCACAGTGTGTAGACTGGGTGTAGGCCTAAATCATCCCAAAATGTTGAGTCTCTTGTGTCTGGAGGTATAACCTCTGAAGTTCCCTGTGAATCACTGGTACAGCTGTTAGCCATGTTTATGACTAATTCATCTATTGAGTCGTACAAGGCCGGGCCAGTACAGTATTTACTGCTGTACGGGACTCTTCATAGTTGAACACTTGTTTACAGGGCAATGAGGCTATAGCCGAGACCACCTCAGAGTCAGACGGTCAAGCAATGAATATTATTTATGGATCCTGGATGTTAGTGACAACGAATCCCACTGCTAAGAACCTCTGAATGGAAGGTGGCCATGTTGAATTTGGCACGCCTGTTATAGGCTAACAGGCCAAGGCAGTTAAAGCTTCACGGCAGCTAGCCGCACGCAGCCCTGTACAGTAGTGAATGTTTTTCTTCAATTCAGGCTTCCTCTTTTTTATTCTCTCATTGTCCTGCCGCTGTATCCTCTCTATTGTGTGGATAAAAGATTTACTGTGGCTAAAAAGGTGTAAGTGACCGGTCATTCTAATCAGGGGCAGGTGACAGGGAAGGCAAATATAGTCATGATGTTTTATGAATATGTTGCACTGTCTGTGACAATGGAATGTTAGCCAATTATGTTATGAATAATGTTCTTAGTTGATAGTAGAAGGCTGATGTTGAAAGGCCTGCCTGTATTGAGAAAGACATTTTAGTAATTATTTGTTTCAACCTGTTCTACTGGAATTCTATCTTTATATAAATCAAATGTGTTTGGAGATTACTCATGACCACAATGTTATTTTAAAGTAATATGTTACTTACTTTATCCAAGCACATCAAATACATTGATTTACTTTGTCACAGCAAATCAAAAGCGCTAGAGTGAATCTCAGTATAATGTCTGTGTGTGTATTTCCTCTGCAGGTATCACCTGGTAAAGCTTCTGGAGAAGTTTGGGAAGGTGAAACAGTTTGATTTCCTGTTTCACAAGTCTGGACCATTGGAGGGCCAGCCCCGAGGATACTGCTTTATTAACTTCCACACCAAAGAGGTACAACACCACACCAACCATTTCACACCTTTCAATTCCAAGAAAAGATAGTCTCTACTTCATATAAATGTACATTGCATTTTAGTCATTTAGCAGACTTATTCAGAGCGACTTAATAGTGTGTTCATCTGAAGACAGCTAGGTGAGACAACCACATATCACAGTCATAGTAAGTACATTTTTCCTAAATTAAGTAGTTATCAGCAAAGTCAGTGCTAGTAGAAAAAGGTAAGTGCATTATATAAATGAAAAGTTAGGGCTAGTCAAAAGCTATACACAGCATAGACAAAAGGTATAGTATAGCCAACTGTTTCCCATCTCTCCCCATGAAGATATTGTCTCAAACTTCATAGGGCTCTTCAGGGATCCACCAAAGCTAAGATAAAGATCTCTTATTCACTGTGAGTGTCTCAAGTGTGATGGGAGGCAGTCCCCTGGGTGTTATTCACAGGAAGTGTGTGTTTATTAGCCTCATACACACACGAACACACACACACACACGCACCACTAGAGCCCCATGGACTGGGTGAGCCATCCATCATCAGTCATAACTGTCTCTGTTATCACTTTATGATAAAGAATAATGATTTGTATAAGAGGTCTTGGATAAGTGTCTGCTAAATGACTACAATGTAATGATACTGGCCTAGTTTTTGTTGGTGAAATTATTGTTTTTTATGAGGATCAAACCCATTTCTCCAATCTCCAGGAGGCTGAGAGGGCGATCCATTGTCTGAATGGGAAGCTGGCCCTGTCCAAGAAGCTGGTGGTGCGCTGGGCACACGCACAGGTAAAGGTAAATGTCACCCGGTTCAACCTCTCGCCTTTACTTTACACAGACACACACACAGCATGGCCTGTGATTCATTGTGTGTCCCTCTCTTAGGGCAAAAAGTCTAGCCTAATACATGTTATGAAGTTAACCTAACTGTCATGCATGCAGCAGTGTGTTTGCCTGTGGTGTGTGAGTGTTATTGGGTACAACATAATGGCAGCATGGTGTACAGACCACAAATGGTAATGGTACGAGTGTAGAACAGTAGCAGACGTGTAGGACCGGAGAGGGCCGTGCTCCAGTCACTCCCTCTAGGCAGGGGGAGATCTCTTGGACTCCAGCAACCCTGGTCTGTCCCTAACAATAGGTAGCTGCTGTATGGACTAAGGAAATCCTGTATGGGGCCGAATCACGCCCCTCCTGTGCACCCCCTGTCCCCCACTCTCCCCTGAGGGGAAAGAGACACCAGGATCAGGTCAAGGTTAACAGTGTAGCCCTCCTTTGACAACAACAAGCAGCGGACAACTGGTTCCAGACCCCCCCCCCCCCCCCCCCCCCCCCCCCACTCCCTCTCAGGGTTCATGGCATGGCCCCACACATTTTATTTGTCACATGCTTCGTAAACCCACAGGTGTAGACTAACCGTGAAATGCTTACCTACGGGCCCTTCCCAACAATGCAGAAAGAAACAAATAGAAAAATAATAACAAGGAAATTCACAATGAGTAACGATAACATGGATATATACACAGGGTACCAGCACCGAGTCAATGTGCAGGGGTACGAGGTAATTGCGGTAGATATGTACATATAGGGATAAAGTGACTAGGCAACATGATAGACAATAAACAGTAACAGCAGCGCATGTGATTAATCAAAAGAGTTAGTGCAGAAAGGGTCAATACAGAGAGTCTGGGTCATTGGTTAACTATTTAACTAACTATTTAGCAGTCTTATGGCTTGGGGGTTGAAGCTGTTTAGGGTCCTGTTTGTTCCAGACTTGGTGCATCAGTACAGCTTGCCGTGCGGTAGCAGAGAGAACAGTTTATGTTTTGGGTGGCTGGGAGTCTTTGGTGATTTTTAGGGTCTTCCACTGCCTGGTATAGAGGTCCTGGATGGCAGGGAGCTCGGCCCCAGTGACGTACTGGGCCGTACACACGTGTGTGCATCTAGTCTATTTCCACATCCCATGTCTGTCTCACTGAGCCATTCTGTATCGAGTGACATTAATGCCAATAGAATTCAATCATTTTGATTACATTTTTAATGATGCTCAAGTAATGGTCAAGTCATTCAAGGATTCGTGCTATTGCTTTGCATGCAATTGCTTTTTCCTTGTAAATGCCATGTTGTTCTATATAATGTAAAGTCCCCTTGGCTTGACCAAGGGGATGGACGGGCCAACTCTGGAGATCTTCAGCTTTGTTTTCGGACATGCATCAACCACTGGATGGATGTTTTTTTCCAGAAGAGTTGGTCGCTTCTGAGCCTGACCTTTGAACCTGTGTACTTAAAGATAATGGAGGGAAGAGGCACTGATCTAAGAAGAGAAATATGATACAGATCATGCATGCAGAAAATAGACCCGTGGTGCTTGCCTATCCGGAACGTATAGGATACATTCTTATAGAAAGCCTTGCAAAATGGAGGGAAGGGAGTATTTGAGGGTCATTGTTTGACGCCTAATCTTGGCCATAAATGTATGACCTCAGCATCTATTATGACTAGTGGGTTAAGTACTCTGGCGTGAGAAACAAGGGCCTGTTTGTTTACTTTCAATGTAATACTTATTTCCATGTTATGTTGAGGAATAGTCATTTTCATGACTGATGTGTGGTTGTCTCACCTAGCTATCTTAAAGGGATACTTTGGGATTTTGGCAATGAAGCCCTTTATCTACTTCCAGTCAGATGAACTCATGGATACCGTTTTTATCTCTGCATCCAGTATAAAGGGAGTTGGGAGTTTTGTGAGCCAATGCTAACCAGCGTTAGCGCAATGACTGGCAGTCTATGGTATCTACTAGCATGCTGGCAGTTACCATAGACTTCCAGTCATTGCTCTAACGCTAATTAGCAATTGCGCTAACGCTAGTTAGCAACTTCCTTCAAACTGCACGCAGAGACATAAAAATGCCACGTGTTCATCTGACTCTGGGGAAGTAGATAAAGGGCTTAATTGCCAAAATCCTGAAGTATCCCTTTAAGATGGATGCACCAACTGTAAGTCGCTCAGGATAAGAGTGTCTGCTAAATGACTAATGTAAAAAATGTCATTCATCCATTCATTCATATTGGTTCAGAAAGCAACTCTATGCTTTTTGAAACCATGGTGATCATGACAGTTATTTAAAATGCATCCTATTGATCCTAACTGATTACTAGACCTGGTAAGTCTGATATGAGTCATTTCTGTTATATTAATGTTTTTTCGTTCTTCTTCTCTCTACAGGTTCACATTGCATCACTCACGTTGGGGAAGTTGTGAGGGGCGGTTTTGAGAGGAATGAATGCACAGTTATATTGCTGTGCCGTTCACCTTCCCCACAATGCCTCAGAAAAGGGCATCACAATGCCAGTGAGGGGATTTGACCAAAAGCAGCAGCAGCAGACAAACGGAGTGACATGGTCCCTCCTTGGTTCATGGTGCAACCGTAAGCTAAACGGGCTCCGCTCTGGTTACCTGGTCCAACCATGGTGCGACCGTAGGCAACCAACCGTAAGCTAAACGGGCTCCGCTCTGGTTACCTGGTCCAACCATGGTGCGACCGTAGGCAACCAACCGTAAGCTAAACGGGCTCCGCTCTGGTTACCTGGTCCAACCATGGTGCGACCGTAGGCAACCAACCGTAAGCTAGCTGGCCTCAAAGCTCTGCTCCGTCTGTGGTTACCAGCTCTGCTCAGCAGCCAGCCATGTGGGAGGAAGTTGCAGTTCATTCTCTAGAAACTCTCCTCATACCTCATGTCCTATGGTACTTTACTTACATGTCTCACAGATGTTCTTCTCCTTGCTTTTGTTTTTGTATCTGTTTGTCTCTATCTCTCTCTGTCTCTCTCTCTCTCTCTCTCTCTCTGTCTCTATTTGTCTCTCTCTCTCTGTCTCTATTTGTCTCTCTCTCTCTCTCTCCCCGTCTCTATTTCTCTCTCTTTCTCTCTCTGTCTCTCTCTCTCTCTGTCTCTCTCTCTCTCTGTCTCTCTCTCTCTCTATTTGTGTCTCTCTCTCTGTCTCTCTCTCTCTGTCTCTATTTGTCTCTCTCTCTCTCTATCTCTTTCAGAGGTTTGAGGGTTTCCGAGGGGATAAGAATGGTCCTGCCAGCCTGGAGCCGTCCTGCAGCGCAGAACTAGACTTACCAACCAATCTCAGGTCGGTCCAATCTGTCTCTCTGACTCCCCCTTCATACATCACTCTCCCTCCCTCCTTACCTACACTATACATGTTTTAGAAGCCTATGAATTACAGTATGACATACCAGATTAGGGTGCATATTAGACTCATGAACTCATGATCAACATCTAAAAGTCTAATTTAAATGTACTTAAAGCTGGAATCCTTAATGGTGAAACTGCCACGTCCATTTGCGATATTACAACAACAAAGAAGTTACTGCAAACTACGGACACTGTTTTTTCCATCGGACATCATTGCACGGGCGATAGAACAGCAGAATATTTACTGCAATGTATTTTACAATGTTACGCAACGCTCCTCGTCGAACAAAACAAAAACCCCTACTGCGGATTCCATCTTTGTCAAATTTTGTATAAGTATTATTTTCATTTCTTGTACCTTTGAAAGTTTCAGAGTTTATTCACCAAGTGCTCAGGGTGTAAAACAGTACAGTGAAATTCTTACCGAGAGCTCTTTCCCAAGAATGCAGTGATAGTAATCATAATATACTCTTTCTTATCTTTACTTATCTAATTGTTGGGCCTTTCAATGGAAAACGTATTCCTTTATCATAATGTTCCCGGCAAATATTTTACCCATGAGTAAGCTCTGGCCACCTTGGAAAGATTTGATAGTAAAAACTGATAAAATACTATAATGGTGGATTACTCAGATTCTCTAGTATAGTAGATTTATTTTATTCAGATACTTTGCTGAGGCAGCCTTATTACCCTATAACTGATCATCTGCCGGTCCTCTCAGCCAAGCTGCAGTCATTTTAGTTTTGTTTTCAGCAGGTGTGGCTGAAATAGCCAAATTCACTAATTTGAAGTGGTGTCCACATACTTTTGTATATATAGTGTAGATAATAATAGAAAATAGAATACAAAAAATCAAAGTAAGAATAAAAACCACACGAACTACGATGAGCGTTAAAGAAACACGAGAATGCAAGTATATTCAGGTCAGTGTCAGTACCGTATTCAATGTGCAGGGGTACTGGAGTGTTTATAAATAAGTGGAAAGGAGAAGTTATAAAAACAAATGGCCTCTTGAGCTCAAATTCAACACTTTTAGTTTTATTGCTGAAACAACCATGTCTAAGATGGACTTTAAAAGAGAAGTTTTCTATTGAACAACAAAATCTCAATTGTTGATGTAAATGGCACGTTATAGAAGGTTCCAGACACTTGTTTTTTGTGATTTCACTTATTTTTTAGAAATGTACCCCAACCAGCGATTCTCTTCCTCATCCTTGTTGTGCAGTACGGGGGCTCTGAAAAACATGAACAAATGCTCCAAAAACACCCAAATACATCATTTTAGAAACGCTCTCAGTATAGTGATGCAGGTCTTTAGATGTTGTACACATGAAATTGTAATTCCAAACTTTATCCGCAACATTAAATTCCATTTTGTGCGACTCCAGCCGTTTCCCCTATCCACCTGTTCAATTCTCCGTGTAGCCTGCTGCTAGAATGGACGGAGCGGTATCTCTCGAGTCTCAACAAAATGGAATATAACTTTGCGGATAAAGTTCGGAATGACACAATTTCATGTGTTCTACATCTAAAGACCATCACTATACTGAGACAGGGTTCGCGCAAGGTGCTTGAGGTGCTTAAAGTACTTGAATTTGGCACTCTGAAATTCAAGTACTAGAATACCATAAATCAGAATTTTCTCAAGTTGGTACTTGAAAAGTACTTGAAGTAAAATGAGAGGAGAACTGAAAATGATCAAATATGTTAATATGAAAAATGTATTGGTCTTGCAAATTAATTTCCAGGCAGACTACCGAGTTTTATTTCCTCACTTGTTTCGCGCTCCCGTTGACAGGCAAGCTCGCTCATTCCACACACACTGCCACTCAGCCAGGCAGGTACAGAACTGACTGATTAGGCGCCGCCAAATGTCACATAGATAGCTAAAATGCCAGTCAAGTGTAGATTAAATCCTGCCTGGCAGGTTATTGATGTTTATGAATGGGTTTTGCCAGAGCCAACCAGGGATGTAGTGGAGGGTAAACGCCATTTACGCACGTTTTTATTTTGTTAATTATTGTTTACGCACTTGTTATTGCGTTCCCGGCATTGATCAACGCTCAGAAGGCTTCTTGATCTGAGTTCTAATCACAAATTATTCATGTAGGCTCGTTATGTTTGCCTACTCCCCCAGATTTGCCTTGTTAGCAGCATATTCATTCACCACTCTGTCCGATGGGAAACTCGTCCGTGTCAACAGACATCCCCCAAACAAAAACTCCCTGACTCTTGGAGAACGAGTGTACAACTGGTAAATAGTCGCTGATATTTCAGTCAGATGTCTAGCTAGCTGTGTAGCTCAAGGGCTCTGGCTGTTAATCTGGTCGCTAGCAATGGCTAGAAGGATGAAGTTAGAAGCTAACGTTGGATGGAGGCTGCAATGAAGGACGCAAAGGAGATACACAGAGAGAGGAAGCATTGAAGCAAGCAGGGAGAGAGTTTAGTATTACAGTGGTCGGGGACCCATGTGGTGTTCCCTAAAATGTAAATAGGGTCCCCTGAGAGAATATTTAATCTTATCAAACACATTAATAACTTGTTTCTCTTCAAATGGGTATAGCATACAACGTTTTAGAGTAAACTAGGGGCCTTTTACACTGTCAGAATTCACTTTTATATCAATGTGTTTTGGACAGCCTGTGGGACCTAACATTTTGTGAAATATAAAGACAATTTTAAATAGAAAGACAATTTATATTAACGCAACAGTTTCAAAGAGTTTACTGAGTTACAGTTCATATAAGGAAATCAGTCAACATCATCAGTACTGACTTACCACTCATGTATGTAATGAGTAAGTAGTGAAACATGTAATATTGAGTAGAACTTGTAAGGAAGGTAGTGATGAATAGTAAGTTGTTTTTTCTTCATCAGGTTGTGGCGATATACTTCCATCTGGTGGCGACTAGAAACAATTGCATAATAGGAACTATTACAAATTGATGGTCCTTGAAAGTAAATATTAGTGCTTCAAAAAGTACTTGAAAGTCCTTGAGTTTAACTTGCCACTGTCTGTACGAACCCTGCTGAGAGCATTTCAGTTTCTAAAAGGATGTATTTGGTAGGGGTAAGTTTCTCAAAAACAAGTGAAATGTGCAAGAAAAAAGTGTCTGGACCCTTCTATAACATGCAATTTACATAAAAAATGTAGATTTGTTTCTAAAAAAAAATGCACAATTCTCCTTTAAAGGAGAGTCCTTAGGAAAGTGCATTAATTTAATTTACCATAAACTTCAATAACACCATCCATAGACCAGTCAGTGTGGAGGAAGAGATGAAAGATGAATACAGTTTCCTTTTTTCCTGCTGCACCCCCACCCCCATTCTCTCTCTAGCTCTCTCTGCCACTCTCTCGCTCTCCCTCGTTTGCTTCCCCACTCACTCTCTCTAGCTCTCTTACAGTCACTCTTTCTCTCTCCTACCCACTCACTCTCTCTTCCTCTCCCTTACCATACAAAGTACGAGTGCGAAGATTCGTGCGATCGAGGCCAAGCTTCAGATGATGGAGGAGAACCCAGATGAGGAGTACCAGGGCCCCTCAGCCTACATGTATAACAAGCCTCCAGAGAAGAAACGCCCACAGCCTTACAGCAGACCCTTCCGCAGGTTCAGGAGATGACACACAGGGAACAGAACATCCAACACCTAGGCTTGCAAAATTTCCCCGGTAACTTTCCCAAAATTCCCAGGTTTTCCATAATTCCTCGTTCGAAGATTCCCCGTAGCGGAAAGGGATAAGCAGGAAATCTGGAATCCTCCAACCAGGATTTCTGGAAAACTTGGGTATTTTGGTGAAGTTACTGGAATTTTGCAACTCTACCAATACCTGACTGGCTCAGTGACTTCCTCTACAGCGGTCTCCTGTAATAAATGAATAGATTCCAAGACAATTGAAGTGCTAATTAACATTACCATGATACAAACGTATATGTGGAATATGCTCAGATTGTTAAGTTATTATTACACTGTAGTGTTGTGGGAGTTGCCTGACGCCAATCTGTTTGTGCTATTATGCCAACTCCTTGTCACTCATTGACAATGACTGCAATGGAGTTGGCAAGAGCACAACAAGATCTGGGACCAGGCTGTAGTGGGAGTCAGGCCACCAAACTGTATGGCTTCAGGTTTGGACAGACGGCGCAACAAGCCATTATTTTTTTTTTTACCTAGTGTGTGTATTCTTACTTGGAAGAGGATTTTTTTTGGGTTTTTTTCAAGGAGGGTTTTGTTTTTTTGTAATCTACTTTTCTACAACTCCAGCCAAAACTATTTTCAATGGCTATATATATTGTATGATGTGTAGAATATCACACCTTCCATTGCTCTTACTATTGTTTTCTGTCAGGATTTTTTCAAATACATTGTTATTGTAATGTTTCATTTCTGTCTTTGCCATTCAGTGTTGGTAGTTGGACATTATTACCCTTCATAATTCCAATTTGACCTGATGTAGTGGACTAATACAGTATAATATGTTTCCCACATGCTCGTGAGTCACTTATTTAGCATTAGCATATTGTTGTTGGTCTGTAGTCACAAAAAAGAAGGCAAGGCATAAAATCATGTCTTTAGAACTGAGTGGTTGTCACCATTGTGTTTCTTGTGATCAAAGAAGGTTATGCTAAATGTATTTTATTCATAACACATATTTGGCTATGTTTGACTGTGATTTGAGGGTCATTATAAGTGGAGAATGTTGAGCAACTTTGGACAATATAACTATTTGTATTTATGCTATGACACAAAGTAAACCCAGAAAGCTACATTGCAACTCAACTCAGATTACATTGTTCAATCATAAAATGGTATTTGAAAAACAACAACAAATAGTATTTGTTCTCTTTTTTTATTTTAATATAATGCCCATACTGTCCTGTATTGTAGTCTACATGTTTTTGAAGGTTTTACATGGCTATTTTATGTATCCCATAATTTGTAGATCTGCCAAATATTTAGAAGAATCTGGTTCAACTAGAGCAGGAGATTCCTATATCTATTTACCACTCCTCATCGATATTGTGCACAGTATATCTATCTTCAATGAGGTTTATATAATACAAGTCCTCATAGTCTGACTAATAAAAAAGGCTAATAGAATTTTCTTCAATCAAGAAATGAACTTGATATCACATTGTTGAGCTTCTTCACCCCGCTCCCATTAAATGTGTTGCAAGCAGCTGAAATGTGGGTGTCAGATTGATGCCCACATGAATGGTGCATAGATACTCTGCCTGCAACCTGAAGGGTAAGAAAAAGACAGTAGGCCTACCACAGAATATTTTACCTTAACAGTATTTTTTTAATGATTTATTTAGCAATCATGTTGCATGTTTACAATTTCACGAGCTGTGAGATCCATTAATTAAATAAGATACATGTAGCGCGTAATTGCGCGTTAATGAATCACCAGAATGGTTCAGTTATGTTATTAATTAATCTTCCTGTGAATTGAAAATGTTTTTACAGTGACATAGCTAAAGCCTGATATGATCGAAACAGCTTCGGGGAAGTCGCAAACTCTTTGTAGCACTCAACATGGTTCTCATGTTGAAGGGGAGATGCGCGCGGCTTCAGTGATGTCTGCGACTGTGACTGATTTACTGCCAAAGTTCCAGTTACTTGCGCGGGTGTCAATATGGTCTGTAAATTGGAAATCAAATGAAGACCTGATTATCCATCATTTCAATCATTAATAAATTAACTACCGCTAGTTGGTATTTTTGATGCTGTGATAGAAAGGCCTATGTGTTTCTAGGATTATCACGAGTCAATGAGACAAGCATATTGTCTTCAAGGTCCTTTTTCACAGCTAAACAAAGTAGCTACATACGCCCTCATTCCAATAGACTATTGGATGTTTAGAAAGCCCATATTTGGGGTGAGAATGAGATGTCGTATTTATATTGTGTCAAATTTTCAATAGATCCTCTTGCAGAATCAAATTTTTTCGTTAAGTTGAATCCTTCAGTAATCAGATATAAGAAACAATCCCTAATATTAATATTTATTATAATAATCAACCGATCAAATAATAATAATACATTGACAGAGGCCAAACAATACATTTCACTGTAAATAAACTACCTTTATTTTGTTTGTCTCGTTTAAAATCGTATAGCCTATAATATCATAAAGTGAAAGAACCCAAAAGAATACATTATAACATGAATAATTCAACCTTAATAAACCTTTATGGTGCATAATTATGTTGTAATTATGCAAATTGAAAAAACATGATTCGATTAAGTGCTATGTTTCTAATGACTGTCTCATTTAGAATGGCTTTACAAGAAAGATAGACTGTTTTTTATGATGGTTTGTTTGTGGAACGCAAAAATAATAGGCTAATGTGTGTTTATGTAATAATAAACACACATAAAAATGAACTATTCAACACCTAAATAGTTGTTTTCAATTAAACCTAAATCATAAAGCAATGACTTGAACCAACATTATCCAACATCAGACTTACTTTAATTTTGAAATAGGTTATTTATTATGACCCCTTAACAGAAATTGCCAAGTGAGGTAAAAAACTCCATTATAGCGGTGTTCTGTCAGAAGAGTGGTGTCCATGAACCGTACCCTACATTCGCACCCATAATACAACAAGTTTACCCTCCCCCTCCAAACCAGGGGCGCAACTAAACTTTCACTTCAGACGAGTTGCACTTGGAGAGACGGTACCCGACCCTGCGCTCACTAGTTGTGTCTCGCGTTCTTGCAGATCTGGAGCAAACCTGCCAACCCACCTACTTCCTGTAGTCAGCAATTCCATCCCTAACTGAGGGAAAAAAAGGGAAGGAAGAATTTTCTAAGTGTTCTAAATAAGGCTTTCTGAAAAGCAAAACTCCACTCGCATGTGTGCTGGGAGGCCGTTGCGTCGATCGTGGGTAGAAGTAAAACACGCTGTGGGTTCAAAACAAGAAGTGTATTAACCCTGCAAATCCATGGCACGGATAATACAATTGATGCGCATATTTTTTGCATGAAAGTGAAATCAGTTCAAACTCCGAGCTTGGGAAGGGAACTCATCTTACGTTCTATCAGAATCCCAAGTGCGTTCATGTATTGGAAAAATGAGGTTTTGGCCCCTCTACCAGAGGGAAATAAGTTTTTATCCGAAGGAATTCCCTCAAAACAGGTAATGTGAAGAAAACAATAGCCTACAAAGATAACCTATGCGTAAAATACAAGCGTAAAAAGCATTTGGATATGCAAGCTTGCTTTCTGGTTTAGCATGCATGTCTAAGATACCCACATATTGTTGGTTGATACCATTGTATAGACTACACTAGGATCTTACTGGTAATCTATCTGCTGTCATCATGTTGCTTTCTTAACTGCAACTGTTTTTATGTGTGTCTTAAATTGATATCATAAGAATCACTGGTTGTGTACAAAGATCAGCTGCGCCTCGCGCCACGAAGAGACAAGCGCGTCTATTGTGAATAGTGTGATTTGCAGTCCACCCTCTTCAACATGCCAATTCGCCAGAGAAGAATTAGATTTTAATTACTGCCATTAAAAATCAAATTTGCAATTCTTTGGGTGGCCCGTTGCCTTTTCTGATTGACAGTTGAAATTGACACTCCGGGTCTCCTCTTATCGTGAGCATTTCAAGCTATTTGTAATTGCAGGTAGTTTTTTTCGGTTCCCTGGATTGCGAGGAAAACACGATGACTTTAAGAGGCATGGGTTAAGTGCAGAGAAAAATCAATCCAAATTGAAATAGCTTCATGAAAACGGCGTCTTTTGTTGCAGTGCCCTAAATAGCCCACAACAGTTAAAATCGGGAGTTATTGTTTGGATGCTTTATATAGCTGCAGGGCTGCAATGTCTCTCAAGGATTTCATGGCTGGAGATGGATAGTACTTTAGCCGCGAGTTGACTTCGACTTGCTGTTGAATCTTGTCTTGTAGGTGATTTCTCCAGAAACGCCGCAGAGTACACCGGGTGCCTCGCGCTGTGTGGAAGCCAAATACACACACGTCATGGTGAGAAGTTATGTAAACGTTATAATGCATTATTTGCAATGTGTGCATTGTATTATTATAGCATCTGAAGCTTAAATTATTGCCATGCGTAAAATGTAATGTTATTGCTATTAGTTGTATATTGCCTGTCAAGTATTTATGCAACATATAAACCATACATGTGGCATATGTCCGTGCTTTTGGTGACCCTGATAGCGAGCCTCAAGATGCTTTTCTATGCTAAACATGACTTGGGTCATGAAGTAGCCTGTTGGCTGTAATATTTCAAATATTGTGGTCCAGATGTATCCATATCCTTCTTCTTGTCTTGTTTCTCGTGCAGTCTCACTCAGACGGAGAATCCCACCGATCGAACATGGAGAGGGAGGACACGCGCTCCTCCCCAAGTCCCCCCTCTACCCCGTATATCTGCTCACCTATCTCCACCGCCTCCTCCGTTCCGTCCACGGGGAAGAACGTGTGTGCGAGCTGTGGTTTGGAGATCCTGGACAGATACCTTCTCAAGGTGCGAGTGCGCGCGTTATCGGTCATGAAAAGGCTAAACCGCATATGATTTCTTTTTTTGCGAACGTAAAAATGGAAAATCCTTTTTAACTTACAACTTTCCTAACATGTTTGATGTATTTAGCCCAAGCTACATCCACGTTGACTTTATTTGCTTCCTTATGTTTAAATATGAATACGAATATAAATCAAATCAAACTCCGAATTATGGAGTTTTAGTAGGCTAAAGTGTTGATCTTCTGAAGCTCCACTGTTTTGAACATAATAATATATTCTAAACAAAGGAAATGACAGTAGCATAGATGGGCCAGGGTCATACATCATGTTATGGTTTTTCTGTCTTTGAACTTCACATCAAGAACAACGCCCAGCCTCGCCTCGCGTGCTCCCAAGTAAAAACAACTGAATGGGTGTGCTTTGCAGAGTTGCAGGAAGTGTGTGTTACTAAACTACGGTGATCATTATTCCGCTATCTGCCTCCATTTGTTTTAAGTCTTTATATGAAAACGAGGCTTGTGGAAACAATTTTATCAGGAAACGATGCATGTTAATTAAAATCATAACTATATTCATCTTTAAATTGATTATTTATAGGCTATTTATTATTAAATGATATGAACATTTTGCTTCTATAAAACATTTATTCAGAAAACCTATAGCATTATGATATTTGATGTATGGGATTTCTGCCGTAATATTAGCTGATCATAAAGATGAAATTTGAAATTCACTCATAAAACAGACCCAATGGTCCACTTCACCAATTCCCGCTGTAATATTATTTTCTGTTTAATAACCTAAACGCCTAAACGGACATACCTCTTTATTTTGCACATGATCCATTTTCTTATAAGGATAACGAAGTAATTATAGAATAATTGTTGTATATCTTAATGCGGATATTTCATTAGCCTCCTAATGTAGGCTACACTACACGGACAAACATCGAAAAGAACAAAACAATTATAAGATATCATATTATTTATTTACATCTGAATTATCCTTCAACGAAATGTAAGGTTTAGGAATATTTTTAACTTTAAAGGCAATAATAAAATAAACAATATTAAAACCTTTTGCATGGTCTGCATATGTACGCACAATTTATCAATGAGTACACAATCTAGCTGAATTCAAATTGCCCAATGGCCATTACATGCATAATCAAATTGAAAGTTACCGGACAGAGGGAAACATATTTATCATAAAAGTCATACTATCTTTGTAGCTCCACCAAAATACCAACTAAGTCATGGATGTTTTTTTGTATGGGAACAAAATCAATTGCAAAGTGCATAATAGCCTACATGAATTATGCTCTTTTTACAGTTGATTATTTTTGTTATTATTGGCTACAATTGGACGTTTCATTTATTTAAATAGTTTAGCCTAGGCTACTAGTTGAGAAATCATGTAATTTACCCGATTCAGTTTGATTTCACATAGGCTATGTACAGACATATTGTTATAATTATTATTACTATGATGATTATAATTATTATCATAATAATAATAATTATTATTATTATTTAAGTAGTTTTTTTTTTTTACCACTGTTTTGTTTTGCAGGTGAATAACTTGATCTGGCACGTGAGGTGTCTAGAGTGTTCTGTCTGCCGGACGTCGTTGCGTCAACACAACAGCTGTTACATCAAAAACAAAGAGGTCTTCTGTAAAATGGATTATTTCAGGTAGGGTAAGTTTTTGACTTTGTTTTCAAAATATGATTAATGTTTGCTGCCGCCTGCCGCCTGTGAGATGCAGGTTGTCTCATTTTATATGTCGGTGTTTAAAATGGTATTTAAAAGCTTATAAGCAAAATAGGGGTAGGAGTTAACTATAGCCACTTTTTATGAATCCCATTGTTGAGGCTACACCGTCGGGCTAAATATTGAGGTGTTGTAAAATAAATGTAATTCTGCTAGTATAGACTTTTGTTGTGGGGCGTGCAGTGAGACGTGTTTTGCAGGAATTATAAATTGCTGGGATATTATACGCGCATTTAAAGATGAAGATGACGATCAATGCGCATAACACTGGGCAATGCCCATGCTTCTTTGCCTTACAGTTTTGAATAATAAATGTATTAAATCATATTTAAAAAAAACAACAACAATAAGCGATTGCATAGGGCCTAGGCCACTAGGTCTTATAACAACAACACCAATACCACATCAATAATAATGATGTTACGACATATACCACGATTTAATTTGTACAGGATTACACTTTTTAAATCATAGTCCACAGATCGTCAGCTCAGCCAGTCTCTTGATTTAAAAAGCAAAGTGAGATCAACGAATTATAATCTGATTATATAATCAAATCACATTTTATTGGTCGCATACACATTTAGCAGATGTTATTGGGGGTGTAGCGAAATGCTTGAATGATACTGTAGGATACTATCTGTTATTCTATTGTTATCTAATCTGTTGTTATATTGTTATATAATCTCATACATACCAAAACATGTATGAGTTATTACCAAATAAAATCAAGACTAATCTCTGGAATGATTTCCTGTGATTGTCTAACAGAAGACATGAGAAGGTATTCACAGTTACATTTACTGATAACGATTCTAATCAGCGCTACCCCAAGACTACAATTTGTTGGGCTATTATCATAGCATGTTGTTACACACCATTTCTACAGTTCCTATACACAATAACACCATTCATCATTGCTTTCAATGCTATTATATTTGTTTATAGTTTCATATTTTTCCACATGATTTAACACACTAAATATACATAAAACATAATTGCTTTCAATGCTGTCAATGCTGTTATATTTTCTATAATATTGTATATTTATATATATTTATATTTTACCAGCTTCATTCATATAACACATTTGACACAATATTTACAAATACCTGTAGTTACATGCACACACGCACACGCACACACACACACACACACACACACACACACACACACACACACACACACACACACACACACACACACACACACACACACACACACACACACACACACACACACACACACACACACACACACACACACACACACACACACACACACACACACACACACACACACACACACACACACACACACACACACACACACACACACACACACACACACACACACACACACACACACACACACACAGTACATACACTGCAGAGTAAGAATAACACACCTCGGCTAAAGCTAAACTGTGAAGTCTCATGCAGCATGTGTGTCTCCAGTGTACCATGATTGCAGAGCACTCAACACAGTGCCTGAAAGCAAGCTCTCAATTGGCCAGGCCTCTTCTCCTCTGCATCAATTTTCAGTCAATGTGAAGTGACTGGCCCTTTAAAGTCGATACTGTGTTTTAGGAGCTGCTGCCTCAGAAGGTTTAGTTTCTGTGTTAGGATAATAATCTGAAGTGATGCTTCACAAGATGTTTCATCTAAAGCCCTTCACAGAGAGACCCGGTCCCTGTGTAGCACAGTGGAACTATTGAGATAGGAACATCAACACTTGTGTTGTGCTACGGCATGCAGGCGTCGAGTGTAGTTATCAGATCAACATCAAGGCTTAGACCACAGAACTAAAAGGAGTCAATGTCAACCAATAATGTATTACTGGACTTTAGTAATAGATTAACATCATCAGAGATACATGCAGGGAGTGTAAACATGATATATTTTTTTATGTGATGCATGTGTAATATGTTTACAAGAGAAAATGATCAATATTGAGCTACTATGATTGCAAAGCTCAAATGAGCCATGAAATGTTCTCTCATAATGCAGGATAAATGTGAAACACTATCTGACTATAGATTCTTATTTAATAGATAGAGATAATGTTAATTGGAGTTAATATACTAAAAGCTCTATGCATCCTGAGAGTATCACATGGAGTTTGTCATTAATAACTAATTATATTGATCTCTTCTGGCTCAGAATTGCTACATACTATATTGTTCCATTCATAATAAACTGCAGAGGGAATTGCTTTACAGCTGAGCAAGGCCATATATTTTAAACTGAGATAATTGCAGAATAATATTGCCTGTAATTTAATTATTACTGACCGATATGTTGAAATATTTACAATTACATATTGGTTTATATTTATGGAAAGTTTTCCAGATTATTGAAAAAATGTGTACATTAAGCTGGTAAAGTTGAATATTGTAAGAAATACAGTACGACCATCTGTTGTAGGAAAAAGGAGTCCACCATACACCACACAATACAACCCACAGAACCTCCAGTATTTCTCCTTCATTATTAGTGTCCACTCACGTGAGATGCGGGTTGTGTAGTTTTATGGTGTTCAAAAATATATTCAAAAACGTTAACAAAAAAGCGTTTGAACTTAACTGTTGGCAAGTTTTTTAAATCCCATTATTGTAAGAAATACGACCATCTGCTGTTGGAAAGAGGAGTCACCCAAACATTCTAAACGGGTAGTTTCTTGTTTTATTTATTTTACTCTGGAATAATTCCACATCATAGAGATTCATTTTTCCTGGAGACGGACACAAAATTGTGTGCCAAATGGCACCCTATTCCCTATATAGTGCAAATATAGTGCACTATATAGTACAAAAGTAGTGCACTATAGAGAATAGGGTGCCATTTGAGACACAGCCACAGAGTATGGTGGCATGTTGGGAACATAACTAGAGGCAGAATGTGATTGACTGTCTAATGTATTATTGTGGACATAGTGAAAGGGCTTTAATGGTTCCAAGCTTGAGAGGGAGCCTGGGAATGGTTTATCCCGACAGTCAGTTTAGCCACAGTCAGTGGGCACGGTGGCATCTCTTTGTGTGTGTGTGCGTGCACGTGTGTGTGCATCGGTGTGTGTGCGCGCGCGTGTGAACAGTTTAGTCATAGCAAAGTCATAGTCAGTGGGCACAGTAGCATCTCCCTGCACTGACTACATTCCCTCAGAGGATGGCAACAGGTCCTGCAGAAAGAGAGGTGTGTGTGAATGTGCATGTGCTTGCGTCAGAGAGGTGAAGGGAGTGACCCTGCTTGGGGGTGTGGGATGTGTAGGGGGGTGAGATGGGGTTCATACTGGCACTGTTGCTGTGAGAATTCAGCAACACCAGCACAGCACAGAGCTGTGAGGAGGAGTGAGCAGTGAGCTGGGTCTGCCTGCCTGGTGTTTTTCTGATGGTAACCTGATACAGAGCCACTGGCCTGAGGTTTATAATCACCAGCAATTAAAGCCCCCAGCCCAGCACCCATCGCCCAGCGTTGTCCGCGTTATCGTGTTTCTGAACGTGATTCCTGTCACACTCCACACACATAGACGCACACAGGGAAACACACTCATGCAGGCACGCATTCACGTGCACACACACGCACCCATGCACACACACACACACACACATACACATGCACAGACTCCACACACACCGACACAGACCTATACATCACACACACATGCGCGTGCGCACGCACACACACACAGGGATCACTATATGTCTCTGGCCCTCCCGTTCCAACAGGCGCTTAGGGAAAAGGCCTGATCTTTCTGTCCACATCAGGTGCGTTGTGTGTGTGTGTGCGCCTGCCATTGGAACCTGCTTATGTAAAGGTGACCGTGCCTACTTCCACACAAAGGCCTTTGTGTGTTTACTCTTGTCCAGCTGTCAGTTATTAAGGTGAAGTTTGTTACAACATGGAAATTGTGTGTGCATTCTGGTATACAATAATAATGTGATGTGTGACCCATATCAGCATAAGGCTCCCTTGGCCCCGTCCCCATTTACCCTGAAACCCCAAATACTTCTATTCCCTCCAGTGGGGCCAGCAATTAAAATCAAAGATGGGGGATTTTGTATTGTGAAATGGACATGGTTGAAAGCCATAGTGATGAAGGATATTAGTGAGGTATGATGTGGTATTGTTGTGGTTGGGACCAGAAGCATCCCCATATGCGGAGTTTGTTTGTTTACAACAATCTTAACCAGTGACTGGTCAGGTGTGTATAAAACTGTCAAACTGAATTTATTGCTCTTCTGCAGAGAGGGTTAGATTGAATTATCTCTCCCTTTTCCACTGTGCAGCTTGACATTCAACCTCACCGGTGTTAACCAGGTTACCTGCTAGGCCTGTATAAAGGTTTAGACTGTAGTGAGTTCTGAGGACCAGACAGGGCTGGGCGTCACTCATTCCTCATTCTGGCTCTGGAGAGAAAAACAAGGAGATATTTATCATTTGTGTCAGTCTCTCATCTGGCTCTGGACTGACAGCTGCTGTAATCGGGCGTAATAGCAGGAAATCAGAGTGGGTTTACTCTGCCTGAGGGGGGTTGTGGAGGAGCAGGGGCAGAGGGGTATGGGACAGAGCAGACGCTGTAGTACCTGGCCCCAAAACAGAAAAACAGCCAGCCTGCGAGCCGTGTGCTGCCGTGAGCCGCAGGCCACACAGGAAGTTGCAAAGCACCGCCAATCAGGGGCACCCTGGGATGCTGACACGGTAACCTGAGTGGCCGTCCGCACCGCTGCGTTGGGGTTGGGGCGGTCAGCGGTGCTAGGTGGCGGGAGGTGTGTGCGTGTGTATGAGGTTGGGGGGGCGGGGTGAGGAGCTGCCGTATGTAGCCTATCCAGTCATCCTCTTCAACCCACACCGCTGCCAGCCTGCTTCCTGCCAGGCACTGATGAGGTCTCCGTAGCAACCGAAAGGAGCATGCCGTGAGTGAAACCAGACCTGGTAGAGGAAAAAGAGATTAGAGATGTCAGATTGTCTGACAGGAGAAGTCAGGAAGGTAAACAAACACACCGAGGCTCAGGATATCAGGATGTGTCTGTCCTTTACTGATTTAGGATGAAATTAGGTGTTTTTACCTGGTAGGAAATAGGGCAACTATCCTGTTTGGATAAGGAAATATGCCTATATCACATACAATGGTAATTTTGGTCTTAATCTCAGACTGGTGACAAAAAAAACAGTGCATGTTGAAATGCTTTCATAATAGTATCTGCAGAAAATGTACATGGAAATGTCAATAAGAAATTTGTCCATGTTCAGTAATATGTTCAAGCTCAAACATCTTGGGGATGAATATACTCTCTAACCCTGCTCAACAGTATAGGCCTCTTAACTCTTTGGGCGGCAGGTAGCTTAGTGGTTAAGAGCGTTGTGCCAGTAACCGAAAGGTCGCTGGTTCTAATCCCCGAGCCGACTAGGTGAAAAAAATCTGTCGACGTGCCCTTGAGCAAGGCACTTAATCCTAATTGCTCCTGTAAGTCGCTCTGGATAAGAGCGTCTGCTAAATGACTAAAAAATAAAAAATAAACTACCAAGCTACCTCTCTCCATGAAAACCACAATCAAAGAGAGCTCTCTCAGGGCCGATCTACCCCAGATTACAGAAATCCCAGAGCATACAAAACGAATCCCCAAAACGTGTACCTCTTCAAGTGCTTCTCTTCAGCTGTAGGTAGATGAGTGTGGAGCTGAGCGGAGCAGAGAGGAGGGCGTGCACGCCGGGCAAAAGAACACAGACATAGACACACACACACTTCTGTGTCGTAGAGTCTGAGGCAGACAAGCTGTCATGGTAGATTACAGTTCTGTTCCACAACATTTATTTCTTAACTGTCCTCCACAATGCATCATCAATCAACACACTGTATTCTCAGTAAAGATAGATAGTCAGTTTAAAGTACACAATAAACCCTGGAATGGTTTCACAAAGGCTTTTGTATGTGTTGTGAGCAGTGTGTATTCTTGCATAATGACATTATTATATTGTACCTCCAGTCCTTATGTCTGTCCCTCATCATTCAGTAGTCCTATCTATGAATTGAAGATGCATGTAGCTGGAACTGAGAATTTTAGGTGATCGGGCCAGGGAAGGGGAGGTGTGTGTGTGTGTGACTGTGCGTGTACCATAGTACCCTTTCCCAGGGAAGAGGCTGAGACATCCAGCCAGCCAGCCAGGCAGATCTGTACAGTCAGTCTCAGACCTGTCTTAGTACCTTGTCATGTCATTTTGTTGTGGACGTATCCCAGAGTGCTTCTCTCTCAGCACTGGAGTCAGTGGAGCATGGAAGCCAAGCACATAATAACTCTAACTGAACCCCATAGCGTTATCCTGGAACTGGGATAGGCTGCATACCAAATGGCAACCTATTCCCTATATAGTGCACTACTTTTGACCAGGGCCCATAGGGCCGCTATGTAGGGAATAGGGTGCAATTTGGGACGCAGGCATTGAGCCGGGGAGATGCTGCCTGCTTCCAAATCAGTCTGCTGCTCCATGCCTGGTCTGCTATGATTGGTGATTGGTTTCCCCCAGCCCCTTATACTTGGCCCTTCACCCCTCATCTCTAGCCCTTTGGGATTGTTACCATGCTTATGACACTGTGTTTATATGAGAGATCTCTGAGCTCTGGAGACAGGGTCATTTCCTCTTAGTAGACTGACTTGACTCTCCTTGTCATACACGCAAACACGGACACACACACACACACACACACACATACACACACACACACCCCGATGTGGAGGGACAGAGAAAGGCTGTACTAATGGTCAGGCCAGGGGCCATCTGCAGACCATTAGTACAGCCTTTCTCTGTCCGTCCACATCGGCCCCACCATGCCCCTGAAACACTGACTGGGTCAACCCAAATGTCTGGGTCTAAACAGGCTGGACAAGTCCAGTTCAAACAAACTAACACCTGATCTCTCAATAGCCTCTTTTATGGTGGATATGACACATCTCGACCAGGCCAGTCAGGCAGTCAAAAACGATCAACTAAATGTAGTACTTAATTGATAGTACTTTAGTTTGTCATATGTGCCCCTCGTTGCATAGACTTAAGTGGCTAACAGCTGTGATATTGGTGTAAAACATAATATTGGCAAAATATTCTTCATGTCAAAATCATGATGGTAGGAACATTTACTTTGGCAAAATGGAGCCTGGATAGCCAGGCCAAGAAATTCAGTTAACCTATTAGTTTGAAATTAAATAATTCACCTCCATTCAACTCATAATGTAAACTGATGATCTGAACAAGCAAAAACCAAATTCTGCAATATTGACAGACTGATTTTTTATTTTAAGGATACTACAGTAGGCTATCTATATAAAAAAAAAATGCATGATTCTCTCTGTCTTTCTCTCTCTTCTCCCTCTCTTAAAATCAGACCAGAACATGTCATCAGCCAAGCTCTGCTTCAGCTCTGTAATGTTAGTGCCCTCAGGAGAGCTGATTGGTTCAGTGTGGAACAAGTGTAGAAAGTATTTTTTTTAAAGGGGTGATATATGGAAGACTTCATTTATTTATTTGCAAGTCATTGGAAGGTGGGGATACCTGATTTACTAAAGGTCCAGTCCGAATGTCAGAATGTTGCTTTTCACATTGTGCATCCATTTAAATTCATGGATTTGACTAGTTCAGTTCAGCTATAAACACGGTCATATTTTATACATAAAGTTGACATAATAACAAGTCTGCACATAGATTGTTTTTTTTATTCCGTTTTTTTGTCCTCCTCTATATCAGAGTATTGAGGCACAAAGACTAGGTTGGGGAGAGGGAGATGGAAGGGAGTGGGGAGGGACGAGGAGGGGAGGGGCGAGGGATAGGGGAGAGTGAGGGGAGAGGGCGAGAGGGGAGGGGGGAGAGGGAGAGAGGTGAGAGCGGGAGAAGATAGAGCGAGAGAGTGAGAGAGAATCGGGAGGGGTCGAGAGAGAGCGAGCGAGAGAGAGAGAGAGAGAGAGAGAGAGAGAGAGAGCGATCGAAGAGAGGGGAGCGTGAGAGAGATGAGAGGGAGCGGAGGAAAAGCGAGGGAGAGAGGAGAGAGGAGACGGAGAGAGAGCGGATAGGGGAGAGGGTATATTCATCGAGAAATAGATAGATCAGAGGAAGAGAGACTCTCTCTAGCGAAACGTACGTAGAGAGAGTAGCTATAGCGTAGAGGAGTAGCGATCGATATATCGCTCTCTCTCTAAATCTCTCGCTCTATCGCGCTCTTCGATCTCTCTCTTCTCTCTCTCTCTTTCGTTGCTATGCTCATCTTCTCTCTCTCTCTCTCTCTCTCTCTCTTACTCTCTCTCTCTCTCTCTCTCTCTCTCTCTCTCTCTCTCTCTCTCTCTCTCTCACAGTAAGTTCGGTACAAAGTGTGCCCGGTGCGGCCGCCAGATCTACTCCAGCGACTGGGTGCGTCGAGCCAGGGGCAACGCCTATCACCTGGCGTGCTTCGCCTGCTTCTCCTGCAAGAGGCAGCTGTCCACGGGAGAGGAGTTTGGCCTGGTAGAGGAGAAGGTGCTCTGCAGGATCCACTACGACACCATGGTGGAAAACCTCGAACGAGCTGCCGAGAGCGGTGAGTCACTGGGCTCTCTAGAACCTGCTCTCAGTGGGTTCACTAGTCTAAAACGTTCTATCTCAGTGTCTAAAGTTACTGTCAAAACGATAAACCTACTGTATGCGTACACTTTTATTTAGTATACAGTTACACAACACTGTAGGCTTCTATACACTACACTCTTAGAAAAAAAGGTGTTATCTAGAACCTAAAAGGGTTCTTCAGCTGTCCCTATAGGAGAACCCTTTGAAGAACCCTTTTTGGTTTCAGGTAGAACCCTTTCGGTTCCAGGTAGAACCCATTTGAGTTCCATGTAGAACCCTTTACACAGAGGGTTCTACATGGAACCCAAAATAATAATAATAATATGCCATTTAGCAGATGCTTTTATCCAAAGCGACTTACAGTCATGCGTGCATACATTTTTTTTTTTTTTTGTGTATGGGTGGTCCCGGGGATCGAACCCATTACCTTGGCGTGCTCCGTGCTCTACCAGCTGAGCTACAGAGGACTACAGCTAAAGAGTTCTACCTGGAAACAAAAAGGGTTCTACATGGAACAAAAAGCGTTCTCCAATGGGGACAGCCCGAAAAACCCTTTCTAAGAGCGTATAACATTGTGATGTATCTTTGATAACACTGCTCACTGGGAAAACTCTAAACCAATGTCGTCATCTCATGCCATTTTTCCCCCTCTCTTTCTTTTTGTCTTTCTCTCTTTCTTCCCTATCCTCCTTTTCTTTCTCCCTGTCTCTGTACCCTGGTGTCTCAGGAAGTGGCATCACTCTGGAGGGGGCAGTGCCATCAGAGCAGGACAGCCAACCCAAGCCTGCCAAGAGAGCACGCACCTCCTTCACTGCTGAGCAGCTGCAGGTAAGTCACAGAGAGGGAACCACATGTCCCTGTCTCCTCATTTCTCTTTCTAATAATAAGTCAATACATCATCATTATTTTACAGATAGGCTGGGGAAGTGATTTCTCTATCTTAGCAACTTTCTAATGGTCATTGTTGGCAACATTGTCAGATGTGGTTTGATGTCTCATTCATTTCAATGGGCTCGTTGTTGTTTATCTCTGCAGTAATATGACGTTTTAATTTCTGGAGCTGATACTATACAATATGGTAATATTGACAGTGAGGTCATATATTTCTAATAACTTATGTAATATTTCCCAGGTGATGCAGGCTCAGTTTGCACAGGACAACAACCCTGATGCACAGACCTTGCAGAAACTGGCGGACATGACGGGTCTAAGCAGGAGAGTCATACAGGTGAGTGTCTGTTCACGCAGTCTCAAAGTATTAATGTAAAGAAATTGTAAGTTGCTTTGGATAAAAGTGGATAATGCATGACTAATTGTCCTAAAACAACGAGAATATAGCTACCTATATATGACGGTTGGTAACATTGCATTTTCATAGGTTTGGTTTCAAAACTGCAGAGCAAGACACAAAAAGCATACCCCCCAGCACAGCGGACCACCGCAAGGCCACCCCCAGTCCCGGATGCCCCCTTCACTGCCCGACGACCTGCATTACTCCCCCTTTGGCAGTCCTGAGAGGGCACGCATGGTGGCCCTGCACGGATACATCGATAGTGAGTGTTACATTGGTTAGTCTCTTCACTACATCCTCACAAAGCCCTCTACTCTGCTTCACCGACTCTCTTTTCAGCGCTTTCATCCTCGTTCCCTCTCCTAGAAAGGAAGGACAAAGGCATAAAGAGAGATACAGTGATTTGTCCTTGTCTACTCTGTAGTGACTGTGTTTCGCTGTGTCAATAGTTCAAGTTTTCTAACAATAAAACAAATTATACTGTGCTTAAGTATGTTCCTTTACTGCTCCTCCATCTTGATACTGTGCTTAACTGTGTTATAATATTTGAAGTGTGTCCCTCTGTTCCAGGCCACCCGTTCTCCGTTCTAACGCCACAGAGCCTGAACCCCCATCAAGCCATGTCGCTACCCCAGCTACCCCTCAGCCGCTAACTAACGGACGCTGCCGCCGCCGCCACCACCCCGACCTCTGACCCTTGTACCCTGACCTCCCATCAGCAATCTCCGTCCACCGACTCGAACCTAGAGGTCAAACATGATGAATCGAGAAGCTCTCTACTCTTGAGCTCTCACCCTTAACCACTCTGGACGGAGAGAGAGACTTCCTCATCGACTCTTTTCCTATGAACAGGATTATGATTATACAGCCAGTCTGACTGTTGTCATGGAGGATGTGAGCCCTTCCTTTTGCTCACTGGGACTTATTCACAGTCAAGACACATCCAACTAGACTATGAGCTCCTTGTGCAGAGCAGGACTGAAAGGACTCCTCTCTCCATCCTCTGATGTGGGTGACAGGACCAGGCTAACAGGAGTACAGCCTCATGTGCGCTGTCAGATTTCTGAAGATTTACTTATGAGGGAAAAAAACGACAAGGGATTGGACTTGTGGGCTTGACAGAGGACACTGAGGTAAGAAACCTCCCTCCTTTCTCTCTTTGATGATACCATAAAGGAATGTGAAATAACTGACAGTTTTGGTGTGCAATCTACTTCGAACTCAAAACGAGTATTTTTTTTATTTTTATTGGTATTGTTTGAAATCATGTGGTAATCAGCTCTCCGTTAATACACTGTCATCCGCAGCCTTCTGTATAGGATATAAGCCTCAGATGAGGATAGATTGTGTGCCTTATCTTATCAATGATAAGCAAACAGAACGACCATAATATGGTTGTTTTGAATTATGAATAATTTCTAGGCAGCTGAAGTAAAACACTAAAATTCACAGAAAAACTAAAAACTCTAATTTATTAGGATGATTTTTTAAATAGTGGCAAGGTGTAACTTTACATTTTTACTGGTGAAAATATTGAAAGATTTTTTTGGGGCGATTTGAATTTTCACCATATCCTCTTGTGCAAAAATGATGATACATATCAATGTATTGTTATAATATGGATATTTCAATCATTTGAAGCTCCAAATTGTAAAATTATGATTTACTGTAACACCCTTGTAAGGCTTTTGACATTGACATACCTCTGTTAAATGTTTAACAATCGCATTGAGTATGAGAGAAAGAGAGGGAGGTCTGAAATGTGTCTTCCTCCAGTTGTAAAGAAGGACTAAAAGATAATACATGTCACATTGCATGTAATAGCTACCTTTTTTAACCAGGTGTATTGTCACTAATTTATAATTTATGTCTGTGCAGGATCCATGTCAGGTCAGTGTTTTGTTTTTGTCTTCTACAATTGTCCAGCATGTGTGCTTCACTTCTATGCGGTGAAATGGAGATGTGGTACAATGACAGTTAGCGGACTAGGGATATGATGTGTATATAGACGTCTGTGGCTGGTCAGCCTGACTGGCAGACAGACAGGGGAGATGGAGGTTGTGTGAAACTGTAACTTTGTGTCTTGGCTGTGGAGTGGAGTCAGTGAGGAATAGGACCATGTGTTTACGAAGGGACTAAGGGAGACAAGACCTCGATGTTCTCGTATTTATTGAGACAATAGCCTGTAAGCACTTTTTTTCCCGAAAATTGTCAAAATGGTTGTTTTATTAAAAAATTTAATGAAACAAAAGTTTATTTGATTGACTGTGCATTACATAAATGTTTTGTGTACTAAATGCAATAAAACGGACTTAAAAATGTGACATTTGTATTTAATTTTATTTCAGCTAGACCACAACAATTTCATGCAAGAAGCACTATTAAGCCCCTAATCCCAAACAACCCACAGGCAAGGATGCTCAATACACACACACACACTGGTGCCAATTTAAAAACAGATCTGGGAAAATCAGTGGTTGGTATCAAGTGTTCCTGAGGGGCTGGATAACTGATCTCTGTATGCTCGCTATGTATTATGCTACTCATTATAAATGTGGATATAGAACTCTTGTGAGTGATTCTGGTGTGTGTGCACTTTCCAGTCTCAAATAGCTGCCGGTCTCATTTAATAGCCAAGCATCGGCACACATTTTCAGCAAATAAATGCTGGGTCTAAAGTAATTGTTTACGAGTGAACTTCATTGAGTACCATTGAGATTGCTCAAAAGTAGATCAAGAAGAACAATGGATTTGTTATTATAATGTTTATGCTGGTCATACTGGTCACAATAAACAGTGTGGTAGTCTTTACAACATTTTAATGAACAAAAGCTGTGTGCATTAAAGACATAGACGCCTGGCGGTTGTGTTCAATGATTGAAGCAAATAAACGCCCGGGCTATTAATTGAAGTTTTATGGTATGTGCGGTACGTACCTGGTTGTGTGTGTGTGCACGTGTGTATACTTGCATGTCTCTGTGTGTCAGTTTGTGTGTCTGTGTGTAAGAGTGTGTGTGTGTGCCCGGTACGGGGCAGGAAGCAATCACAGGCCGATGGCTTAGCTGGCGGGTGCTTCATGGGTCAGTGTGTGCAGTAATGACTCATCTCCTCCTCTCTTCTACTCTTCTTCTCCACCACTCTGCAGCTGATTCGTTCAGCAAGCCCAGCTGAGCGCCATCACAGACAGGAAGTCACTGTCAGGCTGCATCATGAGATTGATCCTCTACCCTGGGTCCTGTTTCAAAGGGCAGCATTAGCCAAGACAGACTGAATGTCTCACTCACAAATATACGCTTGTCTGTCTGTGCAAAAACACACCCAAATTCAAAAACCACAAAATGTAACATGCATAAAAATATAAAAATATGCAAAAACACACTACAGCACAACATTATAGTAGAAAATAAAATTAATGGATCCAAAGCCTTATATTGAGAAATATAGCATCTAAATAAAAGACTAACTGGAACAAAGCCTCTAGGCAATGGTATATTATGCTGGTGGATATCTTGCATAGCCTATATAACAGGAAGTAACCTTTCATGTTGATTTGCATCCATTAAGCTGCTGAGTCTTTGAGGACACTTGAGAGAACAATCTGACACTGATTACATTGGCCTGCACTGGTAGCACAGCCATTTCAGCACCACACAACGTGAGCAGAGCAGGGACATTTAAGGACAAACCTTACAAGTAAACAAATGGCTTTACAAGTTACACATCAAGGATTGGTGTTTTTTTTCTCATTCTGCATGTAAATGTTTGACTGAATTAGTATATTCTTCTATCTTGACTTCCTCCACATATTTCATTTCAGTACCTTACATGTGCGTCACTATGTTTTTGTGCATCTGAAATAGGCTTAGCTATTTTGTTTTTATGCATCTGGTCAAATGAAACCTATTTCAAATAAAAACGAACATGTGGGATATTTCATATTTCACAAAATATTATTCACAGGCAGGCGTATATGCACCACAGTTGAACATGCCATAAATTGAACATTCCATAAATGAGCCTTTTATTTTTTTGCGCTCAGGCCCGCAACTCAATGTCCAGTTCTGAAATGTGGCCTAGTTTTCCAGTGACTGTCCAACGATCTCGTCCCAGCTCTTCCGACAAATGCACACAATCCACTGATGTTCATAGTCATCTGCAGGAAAAAATATATATTTTCAGAATAATCAAATAAGACCATAAATGTCAGAATAAAGCAATAACCTTTTAAAACTATTTTTAAACAATCAATTCGTCTAACAACTAAAAGGGTAGTATAAACACATAACCTATTCTAATAGCCTAGTTCATAAAATAACATTTAAACATTTAATCAAGGTTAACGGGAAAAAAGCCTCTGGACTAGAAGCAGCATATCATTCTCATTCTATCCAAGCTTTTGAAATGGACACAATCAACTTAAGTGCCAGTTACATCAGTCAAATCAAGGTAACAATTAGGAGAAAATAACTTCTTAAATCACATACCAAAAAATTGACGATCATTTTAACAAGGATGACTCGACTACCAAAACAACGGATACTATATTGTTTTCATATAGTTAAAGCTGAAATTAGTTGACCATTGCAGATCAAGAGGTAGCCTAAGAGGCTATAGCTTCTCTGTTGGGACTGAATCCGGGTGTCGCAGCTGCACACACTTGAGCGCTCACCCCGGGGAACAGTGTGCGCTGGGCCCATTGTTGGGAACAGGTCTGAAGCTCTCGCCTGATTGTGTGTAATTGCCTGCGATAGTCCTAACAGCCACTCCAAGTCGCCTCTCTCGCCACTCTACCTGGCTCACGCGTTCGGCAATTGAAATCACAGTTGCACCAGGCACCACAGCAGCTGCATACGAAACCTTGGCTATCCATCATTTTTGTCGCGTTTTGTTGCCTCCCCCTTCGCAACAAATGGAGGTCACCGTCAAGAAGGACATTTCATCACTATTTTAAACCAATTAATACCTCTGCACCGGTTTCTGCTGGTGGTGAGGTCTTAGCACTGCAATTACCGTTTCCCTGAGCGCTTATGGTAATGAGATAGAATTTACACATTTTCATTTTTGCTGTAATTTCCCCTCTTAGGATTGTGATCGCTTCACAGAGCGTTTAAGTCAATGCTAAATTGATACACTAGTACAATTCTATTTGAGGGCACAGGTGGCCACCATAGTTCGATGCAATCTGAAATAAATGGAAATTCAGAATCCAAACACTTAACATAGGCTACACTTCATGTGTTTTTAAATTCTTTGCCTACTGTGGATTTCTTATTTCAACCTGCAATAAAGCCTTCTATAATAATACTCTACATAGTTTAGGGACTTTAATTTGGATATATTATTTATTGGGAAAATTAATAATAAAAAATATTATCCACCAGGTCCAAAATAATTTTTGCCTGCATGGTTGTATTGTTTGGTTAATTTGTCAAATGTGTAACATTTTACACTAGGGTGATGTCAGCATTAGTGGTACATTTGTGTTTTAGGGTACTGTACTATGGTAATTTTGCAAACCACAAAAAATGATATTGGGTTGTTGATACTGAATGTGTTCTGTGCATGAAAAAATGGTTTTGGTTAGTGTGACATCATTGTAGTGTGTGTGGTCAGGTTTCCTAGATGGGGTGACCAGTTGAAACTCATGGACAAC